GTCATGATTGTGACCAGATCTACCTAGAGTTCATTACCTTTGTAACTTATTCAGCTATCATAACTTTGGGGTCCAGTCCCTGGACCCATTATGTACCTTTGTAATCTTTTGACTACCACCCACAGGATGTGTATGGGGTACATAATAAACATATTAAACTAAACTAGGAGCTGTGAATCAACCCCTGCAACCTCAGCTTGATAAGTACACAAGCAGCCAACTCTAAGGAGACTGATTACGTTTCGGTCCGACTTGGACCATTAATTAATCACATACTAGTAGCATTAGTTAACTAAGTCGGACCGAAACGTCGTTATAAGTTTCACAGCAGAAGCTGGGAGATTAGCACTAAGAGTTTGCTAGGGGATGTGGAGCGGAGACAGGTTGGGCAGTGGGAAAGTTGCAACGGGTCCAGAATAGAGCTCTCCGCTTTATTACGGGTACCAAGAGGAGAGACAGAGTCAAAATTGCAGATTTACACGTACAACAGGATATTACTGCCTTAAATGTACGCCTTGATACGCTGAAGAAGAGACAACTCTATGCAATGCAAGAACTCTACATGCCAGATAGAGAACATCCTCTCCAAGTTGAAAATACCACTGACTATCTCATTAATACTCCTCCCACAGGACCCAAAGAATGACTCTCCCACAGAGGCTGCGTCGCTTCATCCATAAAGACGATTACCATCGACCAATGATCTTGAGCAACCTCCCTGCAGATGAAGATGATTGGGTAACACCAGAACCCTTCTATATCTAAGAAAATTATGGCCCCTAATTAGGGAGACATCTTATATAACACTTCTACATCTACTGTTATAAATATGCTACATTTACTATGGCGGGACACCACCTTCGAAAGAAGCTAACGTGTCAAGTAATTCTTTACGAACTGTCCAGATTACAGCCTTGTCTTGTCGTTTAAATATTCGTTATGCAATCGCCAAAAAAAATTGAAACTTGTATATCTACTACCAATTCAGAGTCATGTACCTATATATGTGTTATAACTATGTGACTTTGATGGGTTAGTATTATACCCCTTCAAGAATATTCTATTATTTCACATACACTTTTTAAATTGCACCAAAGTGGTTGTGTCACTTACCTTTTATATAGGGGGCCCAGTCCCTGGACCCATTACGTACCTCTGTAATCCGTAAATATCTTTGTAACTTGTCATGATTGTGACCAGACCTACCTGGAGTTCATTACCTTTGTAAATTGTGACTTCATTACCTTTGTAAATTGTGAGTTCATTACCTTTGTAACTTGCTCAGCTATCAAAACTTTGAGGCCCAGTCCCTGGACCCATTATGTACCTCTGTAATCTTTTGACTGCCGCCCACAGGATGGGTATGAGGTGCATAATAAAGATATTAAACTAACTAACCTTTTATATCTTACCTCACTGCCCCCTCCCACCCCTTTTCCAATATTTCTATCCTTACCCATCCTTCTTCCTTACCCATCTTGCCAAAGACTCTGGTCATAAGAATCGAATCGAATAGCAAGGAGGGAACTGAGTCAGGTTAGGTTAGGTCAGGTCAGGTCAGGTCAGGTTAGGTCAGGTTAGATTAGGTTAGGTTAGGTTACGGCAGGGCAGGTTTGTTTAGGTTAGGTTAGGTTAGGTTAGGTTAGGTTAGGTTAGGTTAGGTTAGGTTAGGTTAGGTTAGGTTAGGTTAGGTTAGGTTAGGTCAGGTTAGGTCTGGTTAGGTTAGGTTAGGTAAGGCTAGGTTAGGTTATATTAGCTTAGGTCAGGTCAGGTCAGGTCAGGTTAGGTTAGGTTAAGTCAGGTTAAGTTAGGTCAGGTCAGGTCAGGTTAGGTTAGGTTAGGTCAGGTTAAGTTAGGCTAGGTCAGGTCAGGTTAGGTTAGGTTAGGTCAGGTCAGGTAAGGTTAGGTTAGGTTAGGTTAGGTCAGGTCATGTCAAGTTAGGTTAGAATAAGTTAGGTCACGTTAGGTTAGGTTAGGTTAGGTTAGGTCAGGTCAGGTTAGGTTAGGTTATGTTATGTTAGGTTAGGTTAGGTAAGGTAAAGTAAGGTTAGGTTAGGTAAGGTTGGTCAGGAAACAGGAAAAGTATTTCCTGACGCGAGTCTTAGATGATGACCCGTCCTTGGAGCTTCTGGTTATCTGACCGAGGCCTTCCGCTGGCTTACCCACAGGCATAACACCAGACACAAACATCTCTACGACATTCCCCGTGTCCGACTAAACCTTTACAAAAATTCAATGTATGTCAAAGGCCCTAAAATCTGGAACACCCTACCTGAGAACTCTAGAACTGCAGACACATTCATCACCTTCAAAACTACCATTAGAAAACATCTTATCTCCCTGATACACCCCATCAACTAACTACACGAATACCACCTGGTGGTTCACACTTACACTCACTCACCCATTTGACCATAAACAGAAATATTAATCTCAATCTTAAAATAATGAATCCTATGATACTCCAATACTGAAACTATGTACTGTGCCAAAACAAAAGCATTCACAATGCTAAACTCACAAACTAGTATTTAGTCACTTAGCCATAATACCAACTTACCTCATAATTTGTAATATTTTAAAATAAAGAATTAAACTAAGTCTGCCCGAAATGCCTAGCCATGCTAGGCGTTCTAGTGGTACACTCTGTAATCATTATTTAACTACATGTAAACCACACAACAACCAAATTCTGTAAATTCAACATTGTAATCTTTATAGAGAATAAACTTCGAATTTGAATTTGAATTTAGTGAGTGGAACTGAGCCAGCTCCACATGCTAGGGAAAATGGAGGAAGACTGAGAGGGGGAGGAGGAGAGGAAGGAAGGCGGGGAAAGGGTATTTTGAGAAGTAAGTCACTTGATACTTACTAATACGCCCCCTTGATCACTTTACATCAGCTGTAAGTTGACGAGCTGTCATATACTTCCTTCATATCCTGCTCCATTGTCATATATTTTTCCTGCTTCATTGGCTGTATGAGTATATTGTTATTTGATAAGACTGTAACCCAGTAATGACCAATGTTTGCATTTAAAGATATAACTTTGCACACTGCTGTAAAGATCCATTGTGACCTCTGTAATCATGTTTTTTTTTTGTGTGTGTACGGGTACACACTAAACAAGCCGTACATACAACACAAAGAAGAAGAAAAAAAAACGTCTGGGGGTGTAGACGTCTTGTTCATTTCCCGCTCTTGAGTATCGGTAACTAATTTTCCTCATTCTTTCTCTGTGACGTGTGTAGTCATTGTACCCTACTTGATGGCCTGGTAGTCAACGCTCTTGCTTCATACACATTGTTCGTGGTTCGATCCCTGGTAAGGGTTGAAACATTGGGTGTGTTTCCTTACACCTGCTGTTCCCGTTCATCTGCTAAGTGGTACCTGGGTGTTAGTTGACTGGTGTGGGTTGCATCCTGGGGGCGACAAGCTTAAGGACCCCAGTGACGCACTGATGATGACGCACTGCCTTTCTTGGGTTATGCAGGGTGACTAACCCTCCGGGGTTGAAAATCCGAGCAAAATCTTATCTTATGGACAGATAATTCTTTCCCTGAGATCTTGTCCGCTGGGCACGGACGGAGCTCCATGCATTTTGCTCCAGGCTGGATATCTATGGGTGTCGGGGAAAAACTGGTCATTGATTATGACAGAGTGCAGGCATCTGGTTCTCTGCCGTTTAGGTTGGATAACAATGTGTGAACTTTGAAAACAGAGACACCCGCGAGGGAAGGTATATCTCTCGATACATGATGTATTAATGTAGGATGACCCAAAACAGAAGGAGTACTTTCATCATCACTTATTCCATCACTGTCTATGCTACAGTTCAAAAATGTAACATATCTCTACTCCTTCAGACAGCAGGCACTGTACTTTCCACCTCCAGGACTCAAGTCCGGCCATCCTGTTTCCTTCAATCCCTTCATAAATGCTACTTCAGTACGTCATGTCATAAAAACTGTCTCCATTTGCTCCCGTCTAACACGCTCATGCACACTTGTTAGAAGTCTAAGCCCCTCGCACATAAAACCTCTTTTACCGCCTCCCTCAAACCTTTCCTACTCCAACTTCCTTCCACTACAGATTTATACGCTCTACAAGTCATTCTATTTTGTTCCATCCTCTATAAATTTCGGAACCGCTTCAGGGACCTCTCCTAAGAACTCTGGATAATACTTTTAGAAACCCCACACCTCCATCTAATCTTCAAATTATGGATTCTCTGCATAGTATTTACACCACACATTGCCTTCAGACACAACGTCTCCACTACCTCCAGCCTTCAACAAATCTTTTTTTTTTCTGTAGCCTTCCTCCTACTGTGCCTATGCAAACTTCTCTGTAGATGGCATTCTTCTCAGCAGTGATTGGTCCTCAAGAACAGTCACTGTTGAAAGTCTTTGTAAGAAGCTTGTCTGAAAGTGTACTTTACAAACAGATTCCTTTTCAGTGACTCAACAGTCAACATGTTACTTTCATTCGTCCACTGATATTTTTTATCAGTGAGAAAACTCTACATTTGCATCATAAGAGGAACAAGAACAAAAAACTTTCAGTATTTAACAGATCTGAGTTATAATGTTTTATGGACTTCCTAAAGTATTTGGTTCAATTCTGGTGTGTTAACGATTTATTGAATTCTTCAACAAACTTAAGGCAGGATGAAGCTCAGTTTAAATTTTCAATTTGATACCCTGGGCAGACTTTCTGTACGGCGGGTACGCTTTTAAGGTTCATCTTGAAGTTAATAAATAATATAATGAGTGAACTTGAAAGGGAATCAGTTAAACCACAGGAGTTGTGTCCGCTACAGAAATGCTACATTTTAAGCCCCACTTCCATCCCTCCCCTCCCATCCCTTCAACATCTGTTATCCATCACACTCCATGCCCCCCCCCCCTCCGTCAACGCCCCTCTCCGCCTGTCGGGTATGACAGGTGAGTGACAGTAGAGAATCAACGTTAAACTATACAGTGCAGAGTTAGTGTTGGTTGTGGCACTGTTAGCGTGGCACCTGCCGTGGTCTACATGGGTGAGGAGACCCATCCTAGGCATTGTCTCGTGCCCTATCTTAGTTTCTTAGCTTCGAATCGAACCCACTTAATACATAGACAAGAACACAAAGACGGTCTACCTGACCCCAGACATAACACGAGAGTCTGCCTGGCTTCGAACACCAAGTAAGATTATTTGTCCAAGAAGCCATGTAGACTTGTTTTGACTGCTTAAATTAAATAGTGTAACTCTAGTTAAAAGGCACATAAAACTGACGGTGTGAATTTGATCATAAGAAATAATTTTGGAGTGTGGTGAGCATCGCGCGATGGAGGCACGGAACAAGCAGACTGCTAGAACCATAATGAAAGGTGAGAAACACCATCTACAAACTCTCTTTCCTCTATGTTCTCCAAGTATAGCAGTGAGGTTCTTCCATTCTTTACGCTGACTAAGAGACTAATGTATTGTGCACCCGCAGCTCATCCAGTTCCTTATGCCCTCACAACTCATATTATGAGCGGTAGCACTAAGGGCAAGATTACAGACATTACAGTGGGTCTTTGGTAGACCTGACTGGTTATTGTTTTTCTTCGATATTACAGTCCTTTCACATACACCAGCCCTGCTCGAACAAACATCTGAAGTTCCTTGAACTTAATATCTTTATTTACTACATGTACAAGGTATACAGGCCTAGCTGACAACAATGACATACTACTATATAGAAAACCCCTTGTCATGCTCCGCATGTCGGGCAAATTAGGTCAGTGTCCCAGGATGTCACCCACACCAGTCGACTAACACCCAGGTGGAAAGAAACACGCCCAATCTTTCTACTCTGGCTGGGAATCGAACCCAGACCCTCGCCATGTGAAGCGACAGCGTTAGCCACCAGAATACTGTACGATATCCTCGTCACCCTACATCATCTCTAAGTTGAGGGACTGATTACTTCAACCTCCCTCCTCATATCTTCCACCTTATTTCTCTGTATTGGACTGACAAAAACAACTGGTTGGCGAAATGTTTCCACAGTATCCCGGCTCAGGCTGACAGATTTCAATACCTCGTGTATGAAACTCCTCCTGTGTGATGGCAGTGTTCAGTAAACAGCAATCTCTCTGTAACCTTGTCAAATGTCAGAATAAAGGTCTGAGCTTGCTACCATCTGCAGCTCATAAGGCTGCCATCCCCACGAGCCCCTTTGAGGCGGGGTAGATGGCAGACCAGAGGCCTAGCTTCTCCCTACGAGCCCCGTGAGGGCGGGGAATGTGGTTAGGCCTGGGGACAGTTGGTCCCAAAGATGAGGAGGTACTTGTCCCTCCTCCCATGGGAGACTTAAGTCTCGAGACACTCCCCAAATAGGGAGCCAAGGCCGGGTCACCACTTCTTGGAAAAGACCCGGGCCGGGAGAATACCAGAGAATAAAAAAAAAAAAAAATGTCAGAATACCGGCGAATAAAAATAAAAAAAAAAAAAAGTCATGCAGATCTGGGCAGTTGTAAAATGGGATTTATATACGTATATATATATATATATATATATATATATATATATATATATATATATATATATATATATATATATATATATATATTATATATATATATATATATATATATATATATATATATATATATTCAAACGGCTTCAGGAAGAAATCCAAATATTTTTCCTTGAAGCCTTTTTATCCACTTCTCCGAGGCTATGGGTCCCACAATTTACACCAGAGGTGGACCCCATTATATATATATATATATATATATATATATATATATATATATATATATATATATATATATATAATATATATATATATATGTATATATATATGCATGCTATGAATCGACCCTTGCAACCACAATTGGGTGAGTACGCACGCGCACACACACACACACACGCACGCACAAGGACGGGCTCATACATGACAAGCAGCACTGCTTCAAGGAAGGGAAATCCTGCATCACAAATCTACAGGAGTTCTATGATAAGGTAACAGAAGTAAGACAGAAAGAGGAATGGGTAGAGTGTATCTTCTTGGACTGTAAGAAGGCTTTCGACACCATACCACACAAGAGACTGGTTGAAAAGTTAGAGGAGCAGGCAGGAATAGGAGACAGGGAGAAAACAACGTATGTTGGTCAGAGTGGGTACATGTGTCGAGTGGAGTTCCACAAGGGTCAGCCCTAGGTCCTGGAGTTTACCTGGAGAGAGTTCCGGGGATCAACGCCCCCGCGGCCCGGTCTGTGACCAGGCCTCCTGGTGGATCAGAGCCTGATCAACCAGGCTGTTACTGTTGGCTGCACGCAAACCAACGTACGAGCCACAGCCCGGCTGGTCAGGAACCGACTTTAGGTGCTTGTCCAGTGCCAGCTTGAAGACTGCCAGGGGTCTGTTGGTAATCCCCCTTATGTATGCTAGGAGGCAGTTGAACAGTCTCGGGCCCCTGATACTTAGGTCCGGTGCTGTTTCTTGTATATATGAATAATATGACAGAATGGATAGATTCAAAGGTGTCCCTGTTCGCAGACGACGTGAAGCTAATGAGGAGAATACAACAACCGGAGGATAGGGGGTACGTGATAACGACTTATAAAGTACTGCGAGAAATTGACAAGGTGGATAGGGACAGAATGTTTCAGAGATGGAACACAGCAACAAGGGGTGACAGCTGGAAGTTGAAAGCTCAGATAAGTTATAGGGTTATTAACAAAACTGGGTACATCCGTAGTGTGCTACTATCCCTACGCTATATGATAATTACACAGTTCCTTACAGGAGACACTCTAAGACGGACCTAACATAGGTTGTGTAATAGTTCTAAATGAATCTTTCTTAAGATCCTTGAAAGCAGTTCTTAATTTCACCAGCTTTAGTTATACCTCTTAAGTTATACGGTTGACACATCTGATGAGGGCTTGGTGTAATGTTTACTCCCATATATTTCCTCTTACGCGTTTCCTGTAGCGTACATCTCCCAGATCGTATTCCACGGCCGACCTTCTTTCATTTCACTCTCTCCTTTTCTGATTTCTTTGTATTTATCACATATGAATTCAAGGCGTCACCTTCCTCACAACTCTTGCAGCTATTTATGTCATTTTGGGGTTTACCCTCTCTTCTTAGTTTGACATCTTCCCCATTAATTTTGCATTGTTCGCAAGTAGTGATGAGATTAACTATCCTCGGTAGAGAAGAACGGAAACATCGGCAGGAACAGCAGCAAATGCAACGGCGGCGGTAGCAGTAGGAACACCAAGATTAGCAGCAGTGGTAACAGAAGCAGCAGCATCAACAGCAGGAGGATCAAAGAGCTTCTCTCCTGTCCTTCCTCATCCTCTCCCTCAGCAGCGGCAGAATCAGAGACAGAAGATCCAGCAGGTGCAGGTAGGTGGCAGCAGCAACAGCAGCAACAGTAGTAGGCCTATCGCAGTGCACATTAGTTCTTATTTTTATTTTTTCCTACGAGCTAGAAGCGATGGTAAATACACAGCTAACATGCGTTAACTTGGTAAAAATTATTGGCAGCACACTTTGCTCACATACTGAGTGTCTCTGTTTTGATCCCCGGCATGCGATGTAGGACACGTTTCCTTATATCTGCTGCCCCTACTCACCTAGAAGTGAGAAGGTACCTGGTAGGGTGTTATTGGGTGTTGTGGGTGGCATCCCAGGGGTAGGGGTGGTAGTATACATAGTATAGGGCTGAGCCTTGGAATGAACTGAGGTACGATAACAGCTTTTAACCTGTAAAACTGATATGTATAAAAAAAACGGGATTTAAAATGAAAGAGTAGTGGTAAACAGAGTAAAATCAGAGGCGGCTACATTGGAAAGCTCTTTTCCACAAGGTACAGTACTCACTCCCATCCTGTTCCTCATCTTCATATGTGACATAGACAGATATGTGAGCCACAGCACTGTGTCCACCTTTGCTGATGATACCCGAATTTGCATGACAGTGTCATCCACCGAAGGCACTGCAAATCTCCAAGCGGAAATCAACCAAATTTTTAAATGGGCCGCAGAAAACAATATGAAGTTCATTGAAGACAAATTTCAATGACTCTACTATGGGAAACTCGAAGAGATAAAAACTATCGAAGTGTAAAGAAATTCCAATAGAGCGAAAAAGAACCTGAAGTGATAATGTCATAGAATCTCACTTTCAAAGATCACAACAATGTATCTACCACATCTGCTGTGAAAATGATAGGATGGATACCAAGCCCATGATGATTCTCTTCAAATCGCTTGTTCTCTAGAGGCTGGAATATTTCTGTACACTAACGGCCCCTTTCAAGGCAAGCGGAATTTCAGACATTGAAAATATACAGAGAACTTGCACGGCATATATAAGTACGATAAAGCACCTAAATTACTGGGAACGGTTGAAGTCCCTTGATTTGTATTCCCTGGAAAGCAGGCGAGAAAGATACATGATAATATACACTTGGAAAATCTTAGATGGACTAGTCCCAAATCTGCACACGAAAATCACTCCCTACAAAAGCGAAAGACTCGGCAGGAGATGTAATATCCTCCCAGTGAACAGCAGGGGCACCACGAGTACGCTAATAGACAACACAATAAGTATCAGTGGCCCAAGACTCTTCAACTAACTTCCAGCATACATAAGAAGGATTACCAATAGATCCCTGGCTGTCTTCAAGAGGGAGCGGGACAGGCACCTAAAGTCAATACTTGACCAGCCGGGTTGTGGTTCGTACGTTGGTTTACGTGCAGCCAGCGGTAACAGCCTGGTTGATCAGGCCCTGATCCACCGCGAGGCCTGGTCACGGACCGGGGCATGGGGACGTTGACTCACGAAACCCCCTCCAGGTATACTCTCATTTTACACTCCATATACTCCACCCTCCATTTATCACTTCTGCTTTGTAAAAACCTCTCATGGGCTAACTTCTTCTCCCTTACCACTCTCTTTACCTCATCATTCTACCAAACACTCCTCTTCCCTCCCGCACCCACCGTCCTATATCCACAACCTTATGCTGCACACCCTTAGTTACACCGTTCATTCATGATTCTTACACCTGGATTCTGACAGACATGTTTTAAACTTATTTAAAGATTTTAAAGCGACTTTAAGAGTGTGAGCTGAAGAGTATACCTGGAGAGTGAGCAAATACATAATATTTTATTGAGTCTTCCAGTCTGGCGTTTTCTGTCTTCCCGACGCTGTCTGTCTTCCGCCAGACACCTCCAAGAACGCCCTTAGAGAGAGAACGCGAGTAGAAAACCTTCGTCGAGCCTACCTGGAGTTACAGGCAGCCATTCCTTCCGTCCCTCTCAACACCAAGCTTTCTAAGGTGGGTCTTGCTCTCTCAGTGTCCCTCCCTCCCAACACCAAGCACTCCAGTATTCTATTTCTCAACATTAAGCCCTCCACGGTAAATCCTCGCCCTCTCATTGTCTTGTCTCCCAATATCAAGCTCTCCAAGGTGAATCCCCCACCCTTTCAGTGTCCTTTCCTGTCCTGGGTGTGAGCAAAAGTTTGTTGGTTTAGGGACAGATATTATAAGAATTCACAGAGTGGACCCTAACTCCGCTGTTTGTAATTTTACCATACCTGTTCTGGCATCTGACACAAACAAGTTTCAGTCATACCTAGTAAAGTTCAGAGCATTTATGGATGTTGAATAATCACTTGATATTAAGTTGCCAAGATAAAACATACTGACACATGTGAGTGCAATGAGCATAACGAACAATCCAGTCTGAAGGATGGAAGCGTCTCTCACTCTGGTTGATGACGGCAGCATTGTCAGCTGCACTGATGGGTTGAGTAATTTGGATAAGAGAAAAATGCTGTGACCAAAGAATCTATATAATTTAAAGCTGTTCCTTCATTATTGCCCATTGGTGTCTGTTGTTTCATATCCTCATAAAATGTGCATCGTATTGCCTTCGCGACTGGCGTTTATAAGCTAATTCCTATTCTTAACTCATTCTGACAAGTTCCTCAGTGTGTGTGCTAACTCCAAGATTACAGCTGTTTATGTCAATGTGTGAATGAGACTCTTTATTTATTCCTCCATCTCAGCACTCATCCGTTTCTTGCAGCTGGACGTGTTGGTGCTGGCCACGACCTATATATCACACCTGTCACAGCTCTTGGAGGAAGATGACGCCCGAGTCAGTCACGACACAAACAACAACACCATGACGACCACTACATCCCTTAAGACGGCTGCCCATGGGCACCACACTCATCTCCAGACTCAAGTTGATACTCACATCCACGCTCAGGCCCACGCCCACGCCCACACCCACACCCAAGCTCATACTCGCATCCAAACTGATGCCCACACCAACTCAGTTTCAATGGCGTCCGGCCCCCGAAGGATCACACAGAAGGGATTTCTTCACCCTGTCAAGGTAAAAGCTCCATATAAGATCTAAAGAAATGCATTCGTGTTTTGGGGCAAAATTAAACTAATTATTATCATCATTTTTAAAAGCAAACTAAACTTACGTGGGTCTTACAGTAAATTAAACTGAACTTGCATACATAAGTTCAGACTAAAACAATTAGAAATTAATCTTCAACTTCTCCTTGTCCTCCCTCCTCCACTTATTTCATCATATGTTCCTCCTTTCTCCGGCTCTGACAGGGTAAATAAGAATACACACTACAAAAATATTCAGCCAGATGTAATGCTTTTTTCAGAAAATAAAGCTTAATTACTTTCAATTTATAAAGATTTTTCACTGTGAGGTGTTTATACAGAGTAAGATCCTCGTCTTGCGGTAAACCTACACGAGTCTGATTACTGCCACAATACGGATTAATTGCATATAGATATATATGAAAATGATTTAAGGGTAAAGGGAAATAAAATTTACAATAGTGTGGCTGGAACAAGTGACAAATAACTCACGCTTTCGAGAAGAAACTTTAGATGATGTTTTGGTCGGTCCTGGACCATTTTCAAGTTACAACTGTGACTTGATATTTCAAATTTCTTCTCCAAAATGTGGGTTATTTCTAAAAGACTTTGATGTAATATCTCCAAGATGTTTTATATTAGCTTGGATTAGGGAAAAGATTTAACATTTTCCAGCAATTTCTCATAAGATTAATCCACTGTTTATTATAGAAGTGGCCGATGCGTGCCCGTCTGTATGCTGGTGTCGGTGCAAGTGAGGCTGTTACCTTCCTGTCTGAACAACTTCCTGTTCCGGTGCCACACTTCCACGACAAGCTGGATCCCGCCCATATGATCACCCACGCCCACGTCCCTGGCCCTCACCCACTTCCTCAAGTTCCACTAGTCGTCCAGCACGCCTATGCCACATCAACCAACAGCAAAACGCAAGACTCGCTAGTGAATATCGGTTCTACCAACATGGTACCCGGGGTCTTCATGGAGGAGGTGGGGTGTTCAGCAGATAACTCATATAGCTATCCCTATATACGTGCCCGAGGCCCCGAGGAAAGAGAGGCATCCCTGTGTCCCCAAGCCTATCCTACCTCTCACATGGAGGTGTGGGAAGCGGGAGGCTCGTGGGATTCCAACTCGACCTGTGATGACCCAGCCTCCTGCCAAGCCCCCTGCAGGATTGGACAGCCATACATGGGCTATACCGGGCACTTGACTGCCTGGGATGAGTGAATAAAAACGAATACCACATGCTAAGATATAAACAATGTATTTCTGTTGAACCTTCACGAGTTATTCAACACATCTAATTACATATTAGTTACTATTATGAAACTATTCACAACCAAATAATGAAAGAAATGATAAGTCATTAAATATAAATTTCAAATTTCGGTTGACATTTTCATTTTTCATGCAATGTTTCCCGGAGCTGCAGGTACTTCTTCATAAAGGATTATTGTCACGTCTAGGAAAGGATTCTAGTTAAGCTTTTCGTTCTCTCATTTCAAGAGAACTTCAAGGTGCCATAAAAACAGAGAAATCTGTTATAAGACTGTTTCAGTAATGAGACACCAGCAAAACTTGTGATTATGGAGCAAGTCTTCAAGGCCATGAAAACTGTTTATGATACCTAGACAAACTTTTGACATAAAACCCACATAATGGCTACTGGAGAAGAAATAGGCTTACTAATTGTTTATCTATTCACCAGGAATACAACGTATTTTCTGTAGAAAATATTTATCCAGTATTAATATTTTTACTCTACTGCACACAATTCATATATATATATATATATATATATATATATATTATATATATATATATATATATATATATATATATATATATATATATATATATATATATATATATATATATATATATATATATATATATATATATATATATATATATATACCTGGAGTTTACCTGGAGTTTACCTGGAGTTTACCTGGAGTTTACCTGGAGAAAGTTCCGGGGGTCAACGCCCCCGCGGCCCGGTCTGTGACCAGGCCTCCTGGTGGATCAGAGCCTGATCAACCAGGCTGTTACTGCTGGCTGCACGCAAACCAACGTACGAGCCACAGCCACTACATACATTGTAAAACGATTACAGAGGCACATGATAACTCTAGGGACTGGTCATCAATGTATAAATTTATATATTACCTAAATAAAAACTGATCCTAATGTGAATATTTTTTTACCTCTTTCATTCCATAACCTGACAGTTAAAATGTAAACCAAACATCAGCGGAGGATGGACTGTTCTAAATCGGTGTAATTTGTCATATTAACCACAAAATAAATCATTGTGTTAATTGAAAACAATAAAATCATATATCGTGTAAATTGTTGATTTCAATGGAGACGCCATAACAGGAACTGAATGACAGGTTTCAAATTATAGGATATGTTCTCCTTGTTAGTTCAAAACGGCTTGTAGCTCAATGGTAGAGCCTCTGGATGACAACCGAAGGACAAGGGTTTGATTCGATGAAAGGTGAAGACGTGAGTTTGTTTCCTGACGTCCGTTGTTCTTGTTCACGGATCAGAAAATTGGTACCTAGACGCTAGTCGAACATTGTGGGTAGGATCTTGGGAGTAATGGTATTTGTTATATAGGGCTATCTAATCTATTTAAGATTGTTACATATAAGATAGGGAGATATTTTTCCAGAGAAGTATCCCCAGAGCCAATAATTCGCGAGTCCCTTGTATTGCAACGCAAGCAAGAGTCCTAGCAATCATCTGTTTGTATCTGTAAGATCAGAACTGTAAGTTTAAGGTCATGAACCCCAGGATATCAACACCATGAAAAAGCACAGGAACTAGAAGTAAAGCCAATCACCTAAAGTGAAACTAGGTTTGTCAGGTCCGTAGAGTTTTCAGCTGATTTTTTCCACTGCACTGAGAGTACTGGACACCTGGAGGGATTTTTAACCCGGAAGGGGTTAACCATCCAGGAAAACTCAAGAAAGGCAGTACGTTACCGAGGGACTGTTTGTCTTATTTCCACTGTGGTCCTCAATTTTGTCCCCCAGGATGCGAGCCACACCAGGTACTTGCTTGCTAGGTGAACAGGACAAGCATAAGGAAACACGTCCAATGTTTCCACCCTTGCCGAGGACTGAACGATGAACATTCAGCGTATGAAGTAAAAGCGTTGCCTACCAGGCAACGGGCCACACATGGCAGGTATTGAGTCGATGAGTTTTATAAAATTTAATGTATTTATTCCCTTTCCAGCAAAATGTGCTAGATCATGGCCTGGTGGTTAACGCTCTCGCTTCACATGGCGAGGGCCTGGGTTCGATTCCCAGCCAGAGTAGAAACATTGGGCGTGTTTCTTTCCACCTGTTGTCTATGTTCCCCATCAGTAAAATGGGTACCTGGGTGTTAGTCGACTGGTGTGGGTCGCATCCTGGGACACTGACCTAATTTGTCCGACATGCGGAGCATAACAAGGAGCTTTCTATGTAGTAGTATGTCATTGCTGTCAGCTAGGCCTGTATACCTTGTACATGTACTTGTAATAAATAAATAAAGATAAAAGCTTCAATAGGCCTGTTTCAGAATTGTAAGATAAAAATTATTTACTAACAGAAAAGAGAAACTGCATAAAAAAATCATATGGTGTAGAATGAAGATTTGCACCAGTTAAGAGTCTGAAATCACTCAGAAGAAGCATTTTCAAGTTATTGTGCAGAAACCAACATCCCATTTTTTATAGTAAAGTTTTGAAATTAGTACATGCACAACTGTTGAGAGTCCGGTCACTGACTCAGATATGGTCTATGCTTCTTGCTCACTATAGAGTTCAATACCTAGTGAGCCGTAGTGACCCACTGAATCCCCAGTAAACAGCAACAATAAAAATAACTCCTAATGTTCCCGTTTCTTTTTCAAGCGGAAACTTTCGTTTTCTTTCTGTTTCCGACTGATAGCGCACTCAGCTCACACACTGAGGTCCGGGGGTCGATCCCTGGTACGGGTGAAAACATTAGGATGTGTTTCATTAAGACACCTGCTGTACATGTTCACCTATCAGAAAAATAGGTACCTGGGTGTTAGTGGACTGATGTGGGACAAAACTGATCTAATTTGCCTGAAATACTCTGCGTAACAAGGGGCTTTCTGTATAGTAGTATGTCATTGATGTCAGCTAGGCTTGTGTACCTTGTACATGTACTTGTAAAAATAAAGATTATTATTATTATTATTATTATTATTATTATTATTATTATTATTATTATTATTATTATTATTATATAATAATAATAATAATAATTATTATTATTATTATTATTATTATTATTATTATTATTATTATTATTATTATTATTATATTATTATTATTATTATTATTTATCGGGTGGCCCGGTGGCCTGGTGGCTAAAGCTCCCGCTTCACACACGGAGGGCCCGGGTTCGATTCCCGGCGGGTGGAAACATTTCGACACGTTTCCTTACACCTGTTGTCCTGTTCACCTAGCAGCAAATAGGTACCTGGGTGTTAGTCGACTGGTGTGGATGGCATCCTGGGGGGCAAGATTGAGGACCACAATGGAAATAAGTTAGACAGTCTTCGATGACGCACTGACTTTCTTGGATTATCCTGGGTGGCTAACCCTCCGGGGTTAAAAATCCGAACGAAATCTTATCTTATCTTAACTCGGCGAAGGGTTAACCACCCAGGATAACCCAAGAAAGTCAGTGCGTCATCGAGGACTGTCTGTCTATTTCCATTGGAGTCCTTCAGTCTTGTTTCCCAGGATGCAACCCACACCAGTCTACTAACACCCATGTACCTTCTTACTGCTAGGTTAACAGGGACATCAGGTGTAAGGAAACATGCCCAACGTTTGCAACCATGCCGGGGATTGAACCATGGACACTTAGTGAGACGAGTGCTTTGCCAACTGAGTCCTGAAAATTAAAACAGCTAAGTAACTCAACTATGTGAAAATCAGTTACAGCAAAAGGAGGTGCAATATAAATGAAGTGAACCGAGTTATTTACACGAACATCAAACAGAGAGGATCAGCTTACAATAATAGGTACACGAATGTTAACTATACAAGAAATCCATCTTCTCCCTTTCTATAGCTTCATCCATTAGGTACCTTTTATCTCTCTTTCCAAACTGTCTCATGCTAGGACAGGCATGGACATACTCCGGCAATCCGTTCCACTTCTTTAATGTTATACAATAAAAGATGTTTGAGTCCTGACCATATACTGTAAGCACTACAAAATTGTGTTCACTTGCCCTAGCACCATACTGCTTTTGGTCCCTAACCTTGGCAAAACTTTGCAGCAAGATATGAATACTGTTTGTGAGCAAATTTAAAAACATGATTTACCTTCAAGTTGCTTTACTCTGTCTTAAATTCAGCATAGGACCCCATGGAAATAAGTTAATTTTTATGGCTTTCTTAGTTATCCTTAGTAATTTACACATATTACTATGTATAATAATTGTACTGTATAATAACTGTACTGTACCAAAATAAACTTACTTTTCCGTATAGACTTCGACATAATATTTTCCCCGGACTCTGGAGAGAAGCATCAGTAAAGTGTCATCTTTGGTGACCCTTAATAACCCCCAACAAAGAAATAAACAGTAAAATAATGGCTCGTAACTGTGTACTTAAATGTCTCAAGGAACTTCGCTCACCTATTGTATTACCTCACAATCAAACCTGTCTTATAGGAAGATCAAAAGAAACCAGGATAAAGTCAAAACGTTGTTCCAAGCATCAAGGTAAGTCTTGTCCTAACTTGCTGCTTCAAGTATCATGATGAAATTGTTACTCTTTCAGTTATTATGTTATCATAAAGTCTACATAATTTAATATATTCCCCATAACATCCATATGAGTCCTCAGACTCCGTGTACACATTTATATTACAGTTGGTAAAACCATTTTTAGATTTTTTCTCTTCGTAACTTTTTTACATGGTGAATCTGGCATCAATATACAGTTGTATAGCTGCGGTTGTCCAGGTGATATTGATATGTTATTTATCTGCTTGCTAGTGCCAGGAGCTGCCAGTTTTAACAGTGCCACTGCCAGGTAAGTTATCAAGGACCAGACTGGAAATAATTCACTTTGACTTCTTCAAGGTTTTCCTCGGTAATTTACACTTGGTATGATAATTTTATTTATGTGTACCTGTGCCTGAATATGCTTGCTTGCTTGCTTAAGATAAGATTTTGTTCGGATTTTTAACCTGGAGGGTTAGCCACCCAGGATAACCCAAGAGAGTCACTGTGTCATTAAGGACTGTGTCTAATTTCCATTGGGGTCCTTCAATCTTGTCCCCCAGGATGCGACCCACACCAGTGGTCTAACATCCAGGTACCTACACAAATAACCCGCACATAAAAGACAAGCTTACGACGACGTTTCGGTCCGACTTGGACCATTGACAAAGATTACTGGTCCAAGTCGGACCGAAACGTCGTCGTAAGCTTCTGTCTTTTATGTGCGGGTTATTTGTGTATCGTTCCAGTCACGGTATTGTGCCTTTTTGTTATTTATCCAGGTACCTACTTACTTGCCTGTTTACTTGAGTTTATTTAGGTACAGGAAAACGTAAGTATAGTTGGCATGCATAGTAACATATGTGTAAATTACCCAGGATAACCCAAGCAAAAATCAGTGATTTATTTTTATAATTTGGCTGTAGAGACCTGTTCCAGTGATGACTAACAATGTTTTACATTTATAATGAAATATTCCATAGTAATGAGAATTATATTGTATTTAGGTTAAATTTATAGATGATTTTGAAGATTACTGCTCCTGTTCACTTAGCAGTAAATAGGTACTGTACCTAGGAGTAAGTTAGATATTATGGGTTGCATCCTGGGAAAGAATCTCTTTGGAAATAAGCCAAATTATTCACCTTTCGGTGAACAGTTCGCACATTGAGGTCCGTGGTTAGATTTCTGGTATGGGTGGAAACATTAAGACTTGTTTCCTTAAGACACATGCTGTTCCTGTTCACCTAGCAGTAACATAGGTACCTGGGTGTTAACCGACTGGTGTGGGTCGCATCCAGGGGAGAAAAATTGACCCAATTTGCCCGAAATTCTCTGCATAATAAGGATCTCTCTATAGTAGTATGCCATTGATGTCAAATAGGCCTGTATACCTTGTATTTGTACAAATAAAATTATTATTATTATTATTATTATTCTTTCTTTCTTTCAACACACCGGCCGTATCCCACCGAGGCGGGGTGGCCCAAAAGGAAAAACGAAAGTTTCTCCTTTTACATTTAGTAATATATACAGGAGCAGAGGTTACTAGCCCCTTGCTCCCGGCATTTTAGTCGCCTCTTACAACACGCATGGCTTACGGAGGAAGAATTCTGTTCCACTTCCCCATGGAGATAAGAGGAAATAAACAAGAATAAGAACTAGAAAGAAAATAGAAGAAAACCCAGAGGGGTGTGTATATATGTGCTTGTACATGTACGTGTAGTGGGACCTAAGTGTAAGTAGAAGTAGCAAGACGTACCTGAAAACTTGCATGTTCATGAGACAGAAAAAAGGACACCAGCAATCCTACCATCATGTAAAACAATTACAGGCTTTCGTTTTACACTCACTTGGCAGGACGGTAGTACCTCCCTGGGCGGTTGCTGTCTACCAACCTACTACCTAGGATTATTATTATTATTATTATTATTATTATTATTATTATTATATTATTATTATTACTATTTATTGGGTTATCCTGTAGTTTGACACAAAAATGATAACACTGTAAAAACTTTTATTTCCACTGGACAATTTTACAATATGTGTATAGTGTAGTACTTGTAAAACTGGTAATTAGTGAACAGGTTTCAGTAAGCGAGAATTGTACCTCATCATTACAATTTTTTTTTTTAAATGTAAATGTGATGTACCATGTATTGTACAGTTGTCTGAAATATAAACCTTTTGTATATTTTCAACAAAACAGTCACTTAGGGCAAAAAATAAAAACCTAATTCGTAAGTAAGTTTATTTAGGTACAGGTACACGTAAGTACAATTATCATACCTAGTAATGTGTGTAAATTACCTAGGATAACCCAAAAAAGTCAGACCAGGCAAGCATCAGACAGGCCTGGCCTAGGGCCAGGCTGTTTAAGTAGGAAAATTTCTGAAACCTATCACAGGTATGTCAAACGAATACTGTATCTCCAAATTTCAGTATGAGAACCAAAAACTAAAATGGAATATGTATGTTTGCCCATGTTTAGACAGTACTGTATGTAATATAATATTTATAACTAGCTTTTGGAAAACGGGAAATAGAACTGGTTCTTTAACTCACATAACCCAGCCTGAGGTCAGACTCACTGTTGAGTGCCTGATCAACCAAGCTGTGTCTGCCACTGATCTGCAAGCCCACGTGTGTGTGCATGTGTGTGAGTGTGGGTGCATGTGTTACATACATACTTGGGTGATTCTACATAATGTCAGATTCCACTAGCAACAAAGTACAGTATTGAAAGATTTACATCCATATAAAGGATTATATTTTTAAATCCAATACATGTATTTAGTTACGTTATTTTGCTTTGCATTTCAGTTGAGGTGCTTGCAAATTATACTACGTACACTGTCACTGTACGACAGATTGGACCCAATGTGACTGGTGTTAATGGTAAAGCACTTCTTTTTGGCAGTACAACTAATTTGAAACACAAAGATATTCTTGAAGTAAGTTTTTATTTGTTTAGTGACTATTTATATGAGTAAAATATGGTTGATGAGGCTTGTAGGAACTACAGTATTGGGTATTTTCAGATTTATGAGTACACTATGGTAAGAGTGTCAAAGTAGGGTAACTAATGCTGGTATAAGTTATATAGTGTGCTTTTTTTATATCCATGAAAAGCAGCGATGTTAGGAATTTCATGTGAAAATTCTAGAGTTGTATGTATGTTAGGTTCCAGCAGAATGAACAGTATGCATTCCAAAGAAATAGTTTAAGTAAATTTTAAGAAAACATAAGAATAGAGGAGTATTGTAGTAGGCCTACAGGCCCCTGCTTGGCAGTTCCAACTCGCACCCAACCAATCTTACTTTTGCACTTCTCAAACTTACTTTTAAAATTACCCAAAGCGTTGGATTCAGTGCCACTACTTGTATTTTTTTCCGCTCATTTATATAAAACTTCATTACAGAACCAGTGACTTCCTGTATCCTTTCTGAATCTAAATTATTCCAATGTGAATCCAGTGCTATGAATCTTGCTTTCGTTAGATATTTTCTTATTATCACACTGGCCGATTCCCACCAAGGCAGGGTGGCCCGAAAAAGAAAAACTTCACCATCATTCACTCCATCACTGTCTTGCCAGAAGGGTGCTTTACACTACAGTTTTTAAACTGCAACATTAACACCCCTCCTTCAGAGTGCAGGCACTGTACTTCCCATCTCCAGGACTCAAGTCCGGCCTGCCGGTTTCCCTGAACCCCTTCATAAATGTTACTTTGCTCACACTCCAACAGCACGTCAAGTATTAAAAACCATTTGTCTCCATTCACTCCTATCAAACACGCTCACACATGCCTGCTGGAAGTCCAAGCCTCTCGCACACAAAACCTCCTTTACCCCATCCCTCCAACCTTTCCTAGGCCGACCCCTACCCCGCCTTATTTATATCCCCATTATATATATACATATATATATATATACAGTGGACCCCCGGTTTACAATATTTTTTCATTCCAGAAGTATGTTCAGGTGCCATTACTGACCGAATTTGTTCCCATAAGGAATATTGTGAATTAGATTAGTTCATTTCAGACCCCCAAACATACACGTACAAACGCACTTACATAAATACACTTACATAATTGGTCGCATTGGGAGGTGATCGTAAACCGGGGGTCCACTGTATATGTACAATGGAACCCTGGTTTTCTTCCTTAATCTGTTCCAGAAGGTCAGTCGAAATCCGAAATGGCCGAAAACCGAAGTAATATTTCCCATAAGAAATAATGAAAATTCAATTAATCCGTTCCAGACACCCAAAAATATTGACAAAAAATACATTTTATAGAGAATAACTATTGTTTTACATACAAGAAACAATGAGAAATAAATATAAATGACTAATTTTAATGGATAAATGAACATTTAAATCACTATTACATACCTTTATTGAAGACTCTTGTTGGCATATGGAAGAAGGTGAGGAGGGGAGAGGGAGGAGAGGTTATCTCTACCACCATCACTACCACCCTCTACCAGAATCACTACCACCATCACTACCACTACCACCCTCTACCACCATCACAACCACTACCACCCTCTACCACCATCACTACCACCCACTACCACCCTCTACCACCATCACTACCATCCTCTACAACCATCACTACCACCCTCTACCACCATCACAACCACTACCACCCTCTACCACCTTCACTACCATCCTCTACCACCTTCACTACCATCCTCTACCACCATCACTACCACCCTCTACCACCATCACTACCACCCTCTACCACCATCACAACTACTACCACCCTCTACTGCCATCACTACCACCCTCTACCACCATCACCACCACCCTCTACTGCCATCACTACCACCCTCTACCACCATCACCACCACCCTCTACCACCATCACTACCACCCTCTACCACCATTGAATTCTATTGTGTTTCTCGCCTTCTTTATCAAAGGGCTGCCACTCTGAACTTTCTTTGGCCCCATGGTGGCTTATTTCGCAGTCACACTCAATAAACAAGCACAAAAAAATGAATTATGAAATGTTTTGGATGAATATGTGGAGTATAGCTCATTGAACCAGTGACAGAGGCAGCCTGAGTCACGTATGTGTGAGCAGCCGTGCCCCGGGTGGGCAGACATGTTTGATACAGATGACTTCCGAGCGGATGTATAAAACCAGGGGTAAAAATTCACCGAAAAAAGTGGCCGAAATCCAAATTGTACAATATCTGGTCCGGACATAAACCTGGGGACCACTGTGTGTATATAATATATAATATATATATAATATATATATAATATATATAAATCTTATATAATATATATAATATATATATATATATATATATATATATATATATATTTTTTCAACAAGTCGGCCGTCTCCTACCATCTGACTTACGACCTGCTTGACTTACGACCACTCGACTTACGACCGTGTTTTTTTTGCAAAATTTCTGGGAAATAAACAACTATTTGTGTTGTACACAGCGTTTATCCTAAACCTTACAGTATAAAATACAGTACTAACAGCATAAAAAATAAAGTAAAACATGAAATACCTAAATAAAACAATAAAATAAAATCATTACAAAAATGTGATGTTGATATTCAGTGGTAAAGTTCGACTTGCATCCATTTCGACTTACGACCGGTTTCTCGGAACTGAACTCGGTTGTAAGTTGGATGGTAGGTGTGTATATATATATATATATATATATATATATATATATATATATAAATATATATATATATATAAAATATATATATATATATATATATATATATATATATATATATATATATATATATATATATATATATATATATATATATATATATATATACAGGAAGGCCCCACTTATACGGCGGGTTAGGTTCCAGGCTACCGCCGTAAAGCGGAAACCGCCGTAAAGTGGAACACCCTTTTTTTTCCACTTACAAATGCATACAAACACTAGATAACAAGTTTACACTAACATATATTATGTTAGCAATAGAACCAGGCATCAAAAAACAATAAAAAAGTACAATACACACATAGTGCACTCATTACTTACCTTAAAATATTTATAGTCTTAATCTAGGGTGAGACAAGTAGTATTTATTGTAAGAAATCAAGTGTGGTAATGTATTGTAATAGCCATGGCTACCTCACCAGGCCACCCACCCACACATACTATTCTATGATATTTAAGCATCCCAGAGCGATAAAATGTATATACAGTTCACTCATTACTTACCTTAAAATATTTGTAGTCTTAATGTAGGGTCAGGAGTAAGTAAATGAGATAAAACGAATAAATGAGAGAGAGAAAGAATGAGTACATGAGAGTAACAGGCGCAGAGTTATGTAAACAAACCAGGCTCCACATCTATATTTATGTTTATTTATTCTATTGTGGGGTGTATTTATCATCTTTTTATGTTATGTATCGTGTTATTATATAATTTTGAAAAAAATATCATGGATGGATTAATGAAAATGTGTATATTACCGTAATATACGACATTTAATGAGACTCGTGACTATTGTTATTATGGCGTCACTTGTGGAAGTCGTCTGCTCACATCTCACAATTATGTTTATTTATTCTACTGTGGGGTGTATTTAATCTTATTTATATGTTATGCATCGTGTTTATTATATAATTTTGAAAAATATCATGGATGGATTAATGAAAATGTGTATATTACCGTAATATACGACATTTAATTGAGACTCGGTGGAGTATTGTTATTATGGCGTCACTTGGGGAAGTCGTCTGCTCACATCTCACATTTATGTTTATTTATTCTACTGTGGGGTGTATATTTATTATATGTTATGCATCGTGTTTATTATATAATTTTGAAAAAAATATCATGGATGGATTATGAAAATGTTATATTAACGTAATTATACGACATTTAATGAGACCGGTGACTATGTTATTATGGCTTCACTTGTGGAAGTCGTCTGCTCACATCTCACATTTATGTTTATTTATTCTACTGTGGGGTGTATTTATCTTATTATATTTTATGCATCGTGTTATTATATAATTTTGAATGTAAGGAATGGATAGAGGAAAGGGGATTGGAATGAAAGATGTGTATGATTACGTAATGAGTAACGTAATTTAGTAGTTTTCAGAAGTGTAGAGGTATGTTATGGGAAAAGGGTAAATTAAGTGGAAGTCTCTGCTCAAATCTCACATTTATGTTGATTTATTCTACTGTGGTTAAAATTATCTTATATATGATAAGTTCGTGTTTATTATATAAATTTTGAAAAAACTATGAAATGGATTAATGAAAATGGTATATTAACGTAATTACGACATTTAAATGACTGAGTATGTAAGTGTTTATTTAGGTAATCAGGTATACATAAGTATAATTATCAGATATGTTAAATTGAATTAACTTTTAGAAAATTTGAAATTTTGGAGTTTCCAGACAAATGGAAGAGACTTTAGTTGGGAAGCTTACTGAGCTCATGGAATGTAAACAAACAGGGGTGGGGCAGCGGTGACCGATTAGAAAGTCAGTGGGGAGCCGATAGTTGAGTTTTGGTCATAATTTGAAATGTCGTATTAGCGGAAACGCCGTAAAGGTGAAACCCGTAAAGGCGGGGCTGAAGCCTTTTATATATAGAAGTATAAATTTATACTCAATATACTGAGGTATAACAGGAAAAGTGTACGGTAGGGTTAGTAATTGAAAGAATTAAGAGTAAGACAGAATGTAGGATTACAGATGAGCAAGGAGGTTTCAGAGTGAAGTAGGGGTGTGTAGTCAAGGATTACAGTTGAATGACATATATGTGAACAGTATTTAGATAAAGGTAGGGAAGTTTGTTATTGGATTATGGATTTGAAAAGGCATATAGAAGGGTGGATAGAGGGAGCAATGTGGCAGATGTTGCAAGTTTGGGAATAGGTGGTAAGTTATAAATGCAGTAAGAGTTTTTATGAGGATAGTGAGGTCAGGTTAGGGTGATGTAGAAGAGAGGGAAATTTTTCCCCGTAAAAGGCCTTAGACAAGGATGTGTGATGTCACCGTGGTTGTTTAATATATTTATAGATGGGGTTATAAAGGAAATAAATGCTAGGGTGTTCGGAGAGAGGGGTGGGATTAAATTTTGGGGAATCAAATTCACAAATGGGAATTGACACAGTTACTTTTTGCTGATGATACTGTGCTTATGGGAGATTCTAAAGAAAAATTGCAAAGGTTAGTGGATGAGTTTGGGAATATGTGAAAAGGTAGAAAGTTGAAAGTGAACATAGAAAAGAGTAAGGTAATGAGGGTATCAAATGATTTAGATAAAGAAAAATTGGATATCAAATTGGGGAGGAGGAGTATGGAAGAAGTGAATGTTTTCAGATACTTGGGAGTTGACGTGTCGGCGGATGGATTTATGAAGGATGAGGTTAATCATAGAATTGATGAGGGAAAAAAGGTGAGTGGTGCATTGAGGTATATGTGGAGTCAAAAAACGTTATCTATGGAGGCAAAGAAGGGAATGTATGAAAGTATAGTAGTACCAACACTCTTATGTGGGTGTGAAGCTTGGGTGGTAAATGCAGCAGCGAGGAGACGGTTGGAGGCAGTGGAGATGTCCTGTTTAAGGGCAATGTGTGGTGTAAATATTATGCAGAAAATTCAGAGTGTGGAAATTAGGAAAAGGTGTGGAGTTAATAAAAGTATTAGTCAGAGGGCAGAAGAGAGTTGTTGAGGTGGTTTGGTCATTTAGAGAGAATGGATCAAAGTAGAATGACATGGAAAGCATATAAATCTATAGGGGAAGGAAGCAGGGGTAGGGGTCGTCCTCGAAAGGGTTGGAGAGAGGAGGTAAAGGAGGTTTTGTGGGCAAGGGGCTTGGACTTCCAGCAAGCGTGCGTGAGCGTGTTAGATAGGAGTGAATGGAGACGAATGGTACTTGGGACCTGACGATCTGTTGGAGTGTGAGCAGGGTAATATTTAGTGAAGGGATTCAGGGAAACCGGTTATTTTCATATAGTCGGACTTGAGTCCTGGAAATGGGAAGTACAATGCCTGCACTTTAAAGGAGGGGTTTGGGATATTGGGAGTTTGGAGGGATATGTTGTGTATCTTTATATGTGTATGCTTCTAAACTGTTGTATTCTGAGCACCTCTGCAAAAACAGTGATAATGTGTGAGTGTGGTGAAAGTGTTGAATGATGATGAAAGTATTTTCTTTTTGGGGATTTTCTTTCTTTTTTGGGTCACCCTGCCTCGGTGGGAGACGGCCGACTTGTTGAAAAAAAAAAAAAAATTATATTTATATATATGTATTTTTTTTTTTTAACAAGTCGGCCATCTCCCACCGAGGCAGGGTGACCCAAAAAGAAAGAAAAAATCCCCGAAAAGAAAATACTTTCATCATAATTCAACACTTTCACCTTACTCACACATAATCACTGTTTTTGCAGAGGTGCTCAGAGCACAACAGTTTAGAAGCATATACGTATAAAGATACACAACATATCCCTCCAAACTACTAATATCCTGAAACCCCTCCTTTAGAGTGCAGGCATTGTACTTCCCATTTCCAGGACTCAAGTCCGGCTATATAAAAATAACCGGTTTCCCCGAATCCCTTCACTAAATATTACCCTGCTCACACTCCAACAGATCGTCAGGTCCCAGATACCATTCGCCTCCATTCACTCCTATCGAACATGCTCAAGCACGCCTGCTGGAAGTCCAACCCCCTCGCCCACAAAACCTCCCTTACCCCTTCCTTCCAACCTTTTCGAGGACGACCCCTACCCCGCCTTCCTTCCCCTACAGATTTAAATGCTCTCCATGTCATTCTACTTTTATCCATTCTCTCTAAATGACCAAATCACCTCAACAACCCCTCTTCAGCCCTCTGACTAATACTTTTATTAACTCCACACCTTCTCCTACTTTTCACACTCTGAATTTTCTGCATAATATTTACACCACACATTGCCCTTCGACAGGACATCTCCACTGCCTCCAACCGCCTCCTCGCTGCTGCATTCACAACCCTAGCTTCACACCCATATAAGAGTGTTGATACTACTATACTTTCATACATTCCCTTCTTTGCCTCCATAGATAATGTTTTTTGTCTCCACATATACCTCAATGCACCACTCACCTTTTTTCCCTCATCAATTTTATGATTAACCTCATCCTTCATTAATCCATCCGCCAACATGTCAACTCCCAAGTGCATATCTGAAAACATTCACCTCTTCCATACTCCTCCTCCCCAATTTAATATCCAATTGTTCTTTATCTAAATCATTTGATACCCTCATCACCTTACTCTTTTCTATGTTCACTTTCAACTTTCTACCTTTACACACACTCCCAAACTCATCCACTAACCTAACGTATATATATACTGTATCTGATTACTTACGAATACTATGCTAGACCATCTAGCTGTTACCTGTTGTAGTCACCTAAAAAAGAAAAAACCTTTTTAAAGGAACATAATGGGATTATGTACTCTCTTTTTTTACAACCAGTACAGTGGACCCCCGCATAACGATTACCTCCGAATGCGACCAATTATGTAAGTGTATTTATGTAAGTGCGTTTGTACGTGTATGTTTGGGGGTCTGAAATAGACTTATGTACTTCACAATATTCCTTATGGGAACAAATTCGGTCAGTACTGGCACCTGAACATACTTCTGGAGTGAAAAAATATCGTTAACCGGGGGTCCACTGTAGTTATTTTTCTATTTCTCACTTTTTTCAGTTGTCAATCTTGCAGAATTTAATGATAATTTTGTATTTTAATATTTTCATCAGGTTCTGCTAGGTGAATACCATTACCAAGTAGAGTTTGACCCTCCTCCAGACATTACACCTGAAAAGAAAAATTGTACAACTGATCTGGAAACACCACTTGGAGAAGTTGGAATTGAGATGTATCTACGAAAAAAGAAAAATACTGCAGAAGAAAATGGAAGCAAGGCAAAGAAAGCTAGGACAGGAACTGAAAATGAAGATGAAGGCTGGGTGGAATATGACAATGAATCTTTGTTAGTATTTAATAAGAATATGGAAGGTAGAGCTAAGGTATGAATGAGCATTATTGCTGTAATTTATGGCACATTTTTGATAAATAAGAAGTGAACGCAATGATTTATGTTCCTTACAATAATGAAAGAGAAATTTGATGGTGAGGACAAGAAATTATGGCTAATCTTTCATGTTTATGTAAAAACAGCTGTATAGCCCTTGTGGCTTAGTGCTTCTTTTTGATTATAATATGTAAAAACATTGTTATAAGAGTAACTAAATATTGTAGATTTAACTCTTAAACTGTCCAAAAGTAGATCTATGTTCACTCGTGTAGCGCTCCGAACGTAGATCTACATTTCTTTTTTTTACATGAGAAAGCACGTGAAATCGAACATAGATCTACATCGGAGCACTACGCAAGTAAACGTAGATCTACGTTTGGACAGTTTAAGGGTTAAGGAAAGCACTTTAAAACAGTACAGTAACTAGTAATTTTTATTGTAATTGTGTCATATTCCAAATTGGGGTGCTCTCATGACAATTTAGTAAAAAAAGACATACAGTTAAACCCAAAAATTTGTTGGGATTGTTTTTAGAAGTCTAGAAAATTAAAAAAAATGTTACACGTACTTGTGAGGGGGCTCTTGCTCTGAGGAAGTGTAGCTACTCTTCTCTTTCCTTGGATTAAACCTTATTATCTTTCAATCCCCAGGCACTGTATGACCTCCATGGGTTTAGCACTTCTCTATAAATGTAGTAATGATAATCTTGACAATATTACATATGTTATTTTAACTAATTACTGTAATTTTTTTTTATTTATTTTTTGTTGCTGTATAATCAATATGGGTTTAGCTCTTCATTATTAATATAATAATGGTAATAATGCAGGATTTAATTTTTCTAACGCAGATTGCTGGCTATGATATGGATGGTACACTGATCACAACACAGTCAGGCAAAGTGTTTGCTGTCAACTATGATGACTGGAAGATTATTTACAGTGAAGTTCCAGGCAAACTTAAACAGCTGCATGAAGATGGATACAAATTAGTCATCTTTACTAATCAGGCAGGCATTGGTAAGTGTCATTTGTTAGGAAAGATTATTAACCCGTAAACGGTCCAAGCAGATCTACGTTCACATACGTAGTGCTCCAAAAGTAGATCTACGTTTTTTTTTACATATTTTCAAATATAGCAAAAAAAAAGTAGATCAAAGTTTTTTACATGTTTTCAAATGTAAAAAATAAAAGGATCTACTTTTTTTATATACTATCAAATGTTGAAAAAACGTATATATACGTTTGGACCGTTTACGGGTTAATGTAATATTAAAGGTGCAGCGCTCTTGGTTGTTGAAAAAGACACGTTCAGTGCTTAGGTATCTTCATTGCCATAAAATTTTGCCTGTGCATCAGATTTTTTCACTTGAATACAGATGAATATAGTGCTGGAGGCAGTAGTAGTAGTAGTAGTAGTAGTTTCAAGGCTGTCAGTCCCTCCCACCTCCTACTAAGGCTGAGGGAATGATCACCTCAAGATGATGATGACTGTGACTACTACTATGACTGCTACCACAACTACTGTTACCACTACTACTACCACTACTACTACCACCACTACTACTACTACCACCACTACTACTACTACTACTACCACTACTACTACTACTACACTACTACTACTACTACCACTACTACTACTACCACTACTACTACTACCACTACTACTGCTACCACTACTACTACTACCACTACTACTACTACCACTACTACTACTACTACCACTACTACTACTACCACTACTACTACCACTACTACTACCACTACTACTACCACCACTACTACCACGACTACTACCACTACTACTGCTACCGCTACTACTACCACCACTACTACTATCACCACCACTACTACTACCACCACCACCACCACTACTACTACTACTACTACTATGACTACTACTATGACTACCATGACTACCACTACCACCACTACTACCACCACTACCACCACTACCACTAATACCACTACTACTACTACCACCACTACTACCACTATCACTACCACTATCACTACCACTACTATCACTACCACTACTACCACTACTACTACCACCACCACTACTACTACTACCACCACTACTACTACTACTACCACTGCTACTACCACTACCACTACCACTACTACTACTACTACTACTACTACTACTACTACTACTACTACTACTACTACTACCACTACTACCACTACTACTACCACTACTACTACCACTACTACTACCACTACTACTACCACTACTACTACCACTACTACCACTACTACTACCACTACTACTACTACTACCACTACCACTACCACTACTACTACCACCACCACTACTACTACTGCCACTACTACCACCACCACTACTACTACTACCACTACTACCACTACCACTACTACTACCACTACTACTACTACTACCACTACTACTACTACCACTACTAATACTACCACTACTACTACTACCACTACTACCACTACTACTACTACTACTACTACTACTACTACTACCACCACTACTACTACCACCACCACCACCACCACCACCACCGCCACTGCCGCCACCGCCGCCACTGCCGCCGCCGCCGCCGCCACCTGCCAGGCGCTAGCCGCTGCCGCCTGGTGGCTAAAGCTCCCGCTTCACACATGAAGGGCCCGGGTTCGATTCCCGGTGGGTGGAAACATTTCGACATGTTTCCTTACGCCTGTTGCCCTGTTCACCTAGCAGCAAATAGGTACCTGGGTGTTAGTTGACTGGTGTGGGTCGCATTGTGGGGGACAAGATTTGAGGACTACAATGGAAATAAGTTAGACAGTCCTTGACGATGCACTGACTTTCTTGGGTTATCCTGGGTGGCTAACCCTCTGGGGTTAAAAATCCGAACGAAATCTTATCTTATGAATACTACTTTCCCTAATGTTATATTCACCTGTATTCAACTGAAGAAGACTGTTGCACAAGTAAAACATTTTTGCAATAAAGATATCAAAGTGCTGTACATGTGTCTTATTTATCACCTTGTAGGCATTGTATACCATTAATAATGTATTACTCCTGGTCATTGCAGTTAAACTTGGAAATGTTTAATTTTCAGCCTTAAAATATAAATATAGATTGAATTTTATGAACTTTTATAGTAGAGTACTATATAAAGAGTACTGTACAAAAATATAAAGTATACTGCAAATTATATCCACTTGGATGATGTTGCTGTAGTCTGTCTTTCCACAATACTCACATGCAATAAGTCCACCTGCTGGAAATAATAAACAAAATTACTGTACTTTTTACAACAATATCATTTACACCAGTTTTATTATTTACAACTATATCACTTACAACAGTTTACCATTTAGTGTTCATTTACAATAATTTATTATTAATGGCACTTAATCACTTACATCAGCTTATTTACAACAGTTTATCATCTCCAACATCTAATTGCTTACATCAACTTATCATTGACAACAATTTGTCATTTAACATCATTTCTTCTTATTATTTACAGCAATTTATCATTGACAGTATATTTTTATTTACAACAGCCTTACAGCCACTTATCATTACAATAGTTTATCATTGAGAACTGCCAGTCATTACAGACATTTTATTATTTACAATATCTCATTTACAGTGGCTTGTCATTTACAGCTGCTGGAAAGCACACAGTTGCAGGAGTGCAGAAAAAGATCAGCAACATCATCAGTAAGTTTGGAGTGCCTTTCCAAGTATTTGTGTCAACGGGGAAAGGAAATTACAGGAAGCCTGCTTTAGGCATGTGGAATTTTTTAAAAAACGAGGTAATTATTGATTTATTGTACATGCAATCAGATTTCTTATTTGTTTGTACTAGTGCCTCTATGACCTCAAGATTTAGCACTTCCTCATGAATATAATAATAATAATTAATAATAATAGTAATCTGTTCTTATATGAGAGATTGAATTAGTAACAGTTAATGTGTTTCCTCTTTATTTTGGTCACCTCTGCCTCAGTGGGAGACAACCAGTGGGTTATAAAAATGCTGTATGTACTTATCTTATAGGCTTTATAAATTACATATCATGTGAAGCTGTTCCAGCTTGTGAGCTTAGTAAAAAAAAATATTAACAGGTGTAGTAAAGATTCAAGTCAATACAATTGCCATTGCATTTCTTTTATCAGTTATGTTATTATTTTCATTTGTGTTGTGCCACCTAACCCTCTGTATTGCAGCTTTAACTGTTTATTATGCTCAGATAACCCACAATCTATTAAACTTTCTAAATTGTTCAATATCAGTGGTATAGCTTAGTGCTTATTTTAAGTCTGCCTGAAATGCTGTGGACATTTATAACTTTTTCACATACAGTACAGACTCTTGTGAAAATACGTATATTATTCTTTCTTCTTTCAACAAACTGGCCATATCCCACGGAGGCGGGGTGGCCCAAAAAGAAAAACAAGTTTCTCTTTAAATTTAGTAATTTATACGGTAGAAGGGGTTACTAGCCCCTTGCTCCCGGCATTTTAGTCGCCTCTTACAACACGCATGGCTTACAGAGGAAGAATTCTGTTCCACTTCCCCATGGAGATAAGAGGAAATAAACAAGAACAAGAACTAGAAAGAAAATAGAAAACCCAGAGGGGTGTGTTTATATATATGCTAGTACATGTATGTGTAGTGTGACCTAAGTGTAAGTAGAAGTAGCAAGACATACCTGAAATCTTGCATGTTTATGAGACAGAAAAAAGGACACCAACAGTCCTACCATCATGTAAAACAATTACAGGCTTTTGTTTTACGCTCACTTGGCAGGACGGTAGTACCTCCCTGGGTGGTTGCTGTCTACCAACCTACTACCTAGGACGTATATTATTATTTTACAATAATAATTATTGAGGTGTCAAAGTTTGTATATTTTCTAAGGGCTGCCATTTCAGTGACTGACACAGTTATTGAATAATAGATTATTGATACAGTAATATGTAATACAGAGATATTATACATTTAATTTTTGTTACAGGCAAATGGAGGTGTGGATATTGACATGAAAGAGAGTATGTTCATAGGTGATGCTGCTGGCAGACCTGCAGAAGGAAAGAAAAAAAAAGATTTCTCCTTTTCGGATCGCCTTTTTGCTCTCAACATGGGCATACAATTTTTCACTCCTGAGGAGCACTTCTTGGGTAAGTAACTGATAGTGACTGAAACTTTCTCCAAGTAGACCCTGTCTCATTTCTTAAGACTCCTGGTGCAAGAAAGTTTGTTTTCATTCCCTGTAGTTAAACCAGGACATTTATGTGATTTGTAATCTGTTATTTGATTATACATTTTTACTGAAGGTTATTTTGTTGATGGATCTCTTATTTTTTATATTTTTCTTGGTGCTCATTGTCTTTTTTTTTTTTTTTCTAGGCACACATCTCATAAAGTGAAAACTATCCATAGGATTTCATTCAAAGTGTGCTTGTTTTTTCTATGAATGTCAGTATTTAACAGATTAGAATAATATTTAAAGTGCCATGGCTTAAAATAATTCAGAAATGCAAAAGTTCCTCTTATTTGCAGCTTCAGAATTTCTGTCACCTCCATGAACCTAACCCCATGAATTATGGGGTTCAGTGATAGACTGGTGTATAGTAAAATACATAATTATGTTAAAATAGGGGCATGAGTATCCATCAGGCTTGAGTGAACACGTTAGATCGGAGAGGGTGGATGCACATGGTTCTTATGACTACATGTGCTTCCTGAATGTGAGCAAGGTAACATTTATGAAAGGATTCAGGGAAATTGGTTAGGTAGACTTCAGTCCTGGAGGTGGGAAATACAGTGCCTAACTGTAGAGAGGGGGTGAGTGTTTTGTAGTTTGGAGGAGTAATCTGAACTGAAATGTTAGCTCATTTTGGCAGGACAGTGATTGAATGAATGATGACGAATGTGTTTCTTCTTTTATTTTTTGGGGGGCCAGCTTACCTCAGTAGAAGATGGCTGGTGTATTAGTGAGAAATCTTTCTTTCAACGCACCAGCCATATCCTACTGAGGTGGGGTGGCCCAAAAGGAAAAAACGAAAGTTTCGCCTTGTAAATTTAGTAATGTATACAGGAGAAGGGGTTACTAGCCCCTTGCTCCCAGCATTTTAGTCGCCTCCTACGACACGCATGGCTTACGGATAAAGAAATTAGTGAGAAATACCATATTTTATTTGATTTGTAAGGTTTTGTCTCTTAAATTTTGCTTCTGATATTAATCCCCTCACAGTGCTTTGATGCCAATGAGGCACTGATGATCAAAAACATTGAACCAATCCTCTTCTTCCTTTTATCAAACCGTATTGCTTCCTAATTCTGCAGACAGTGTATGACCCTTAGGGTTTTGTGCTTTCCCTAACCGGTTTCCCTGAATCCCTTCATAAAATATTACCCTGCTCACACTCCATCAGCTCATCAAGTCCCCAGAACCATTCGTCTCTGTTCACTTCGTCTCTTCACTCCTATCTAACATGCTCACACATGCCTCCTGTATGTCCAAGCCCGTTGCACACAAAACCCTCTCTCTCTCTCTCCTTTTTTTTTTTTTTTTTGGTAGGGTATTTTGATCACTCTAGTTCAGAATTCAAGTCAGCTTGAAGCACCCTTGAATTAGACTGTGTCAAACTAATGGTGCCAGACTGTATTTTCATATAATACTGAATTAATAAGAGACTAAATAAAATACAACATGATATGTGTATTTATGTTTGTCTTTTCAGGAGTTAAAACTCAGAAATACAACATGCCAGAGTTTGATCCTCGTGCTGTGGATGAGTCAGTTTCATTATTTGATCCACCATCTACAAAAGTTCCTAAGCATAATCTTGAGGTAAGTAGATGAAAAAAATTATCCATAGTGATGTACCATATGTAAATTTTGCTGAGAAACTGATTACCCATTTCATTAAAAATAAAATTTTATTATTACAGTAAATAGTGATGACAGTGTTAAAGTGGATATAGATGACAGGTTATTGACTTATCCAGACAAAATTTTAAATACGAGGAATATTCAGAAACTTTTAAATACTACTTGAGATTGAATTTTCCATGCTTAACAAAAATTTGGTAAATGTAAAATCTTTTAAATGTTTGATAAGGAGGCATAACCTCACTACCAACCGTCTTCCTTTCATGGATTTTTTTCTTGGTTGTGACTTTATCATAATCATTTATTTTATGTTTTTGGCTCTTTGTTTGGTTACTTTTATAGTTTATTAAAGTAACATGATAGGAGCCACAATAATAAGTGAATAGTGTGTTATGAAAGAATGAGGCTGAGGTCAGTCTTTCAAAATTAAGCCAATGTGCTTCTGATGGCTGCCAGATTAGTCTTGTTTAGCATCCACACATTTAGCTACATTGTTTAGAAGGGATACCACATGCTACGTATAACTAATGTGCGGAAGGGGTTATCACGTCTGAAAAGTTTGTTGCAAGTCTGAAGCGTTTTGTCAGGTTTAAGAGGCATAAGAACATGCAGTATAAATCTTGTCCCTCTCATTCACCCATATATACTAATATTTTATCATATATCACTACCAAGTCAAGCTTGCCCACCAATTTTGGCGAGTGTTAATTTTATACAGTATATTGTTAGCTAAATATATTATTACTACTATTTTTTCTTTAACAAACCAGCCATATCCCACCAAAGCAGGGTGACCCCCCCAAAAAAAAAATCTTTATTTTTAAACTTATTATTTTATACAGGAGAAGGGGTTACTAGCCCCTTGCTCCTGATATTATTACTTATGGTATGATATAAGTTGTCATTGCATAACATGTATTTTATGGCAAACATTCCTCTGCTTGCACATGTCTTAATTTGTATAACAAGATTTACTGGATTTACGTTAACCAATTAACTTCAGTTCATCAAACGTATGTTTTTTTAATATTGCAGCTTTAATGTTAAGTGCTGTATACAAGGAGTAAAGAATTGGGAGTAGAACAATAAGTGTGGGGTTATAATTGTTATTCGGTCATCCAACTTATGTTAATTACAGAGAAGTGTTGTGAAACCATGGTTGAGATACTGTATTAGTAAGGCAAAGAATGAATTGGAGTATGAGTCATGCAAAGGCTTACTAATACTTAATGAATCAAAGGTTTCAGCACTTTTAAGTAATTTGAGATAATTATTGCATTAAATAGAGCATGTACTTTTCTTTCTTTTGTACTAAGGTTATCATATTTGTGGGATATCCTGGCTCAGGCAAGAGTTTCCTCTCAACAAAACATTTTGCTCCTCTAGGATATGTACAAGCCAATCGTGACAGTTTAGGATCTTGGCAAAAATGCCTTTCTGTCATGGAAACATCTCTTCAGGTAAGAAAATTGGCTAAACCCGTAAGGAGATATTTAGTGGGTGTTTCTTTGTAAATTCTTATTGATTTCTTTGTTGTTTTTATTTGGTGTATCAGTTATTTGTGATGCTACAGTATATGAAAGGCATTATTAACCCTTTGAGGGTCGACAGGCCCTCTCCGAGACTGGTTCTCAGGGTCGGCCAAATTAAAAAAAAAAAATTATTTTTTCTTTTGAAAAGATAGAGAATCTTTTCCCGATCAAAATGACACCAAAAGTATGAAATTTGATGGAAAACTTATGGAATTACGCTCTCGCGAAGTTAGCGGTCTCGGCGATGTTTACGCATTGGCGATTTTGCCCACTTTGTGCTCCATTTTCGGCCAACTCCACTGTACTAGTCGACAAAAAACATAAATATTTCGCTAGAACTCCATTTTTTCTATCGAATGAGTGCAAGAAACCACCCATTTACCAATTTCATCTATCCAGTACAATGGTCAGAATTTAGCAATTTTTGCCGATTTCACACAAATTTCAAAAGATGCCAATTTCCGAATAGGGTCCAGAATAAACAAGAAAGACATTCCTGGCACTAAAATGACATTTCCTCTGTTCATTAGTCATGTCTCAAGGCCCCTCTTACATTCTTTTGCTTTCCACTTTGAATTTTTATTCTCACAAAAAATAAAAGATTTACTGTTATGCAGACTACTGCATTAGTGTAAAAAATGGTATAAATAATATTGGCGCACTTGCGAAAGAATATTAGACTCACCACTTGACGTGTATTGGACGCTTGGCATGATTTGTTTACTTTTGAACTTCGGTAAAAATCGAACATTTCTGCTACTTTGAGCTCAATTTCAAGGTACTTTTCATTGTAAAACCAGCCAAAATCATCTCAATTTCTGTAACATGTTTTCCATTCTATAAAATAGGACCAAGAAAACTAGAATACAACAATAAATACCATACGAAAATACAGTGCAAAGTCGCTGTTTTATTCCAAAAAAACGGTCAAAGTTTTTTCTTTCTCATTATGCACTGTGTGCTGCAGGATTTTTTTTTATACTGTGCACACTGACCACATAGACCCATTCTTTCATATGTAGTCCTACCAGCTTTCTCCCACTAGATTTGAGGGCGCTAGAATTTAGGCGTACTAGTACGTCAAAAACCCTGGGTCGTAAGCCGTACTAGTACAGCCAAAACCCTCAAAGGGTTAAAGAATGTGTCTTACTAAATATATTTAACTTTGATTTGTTAGGGAAGTGCCTTCCTACCCCATGAAGGTTACAAACTGGCTCATAATAATGATATTCATTGAAGGGAGGGGGTAGAGGAGGTTTTGTGGGTGAGGGGCTTGGACTTCCAGCAATCATGCATGGGCGTGTTAGTAGTGAATGGAGATGAATGGTTTCTGGGACCTGACGAGTTGTTGGAGTGTGAACAAGGTAATATTTTGTGAAGGGATTCAGGGAAACCAGTTAGCCGGACTCGAGTCCTGGAAGTGGGAAGTACAATGCCTGCACTTTAAAGGAGGGGTTTGGGATATTGGCAGTTTGGAGGGACATCTAAACTGTCATATCTGAGTGCCTCTGCAAAGACAGTGTTTATGTATGAGTGATGGTGAAAGTGTTGAATGATGAAAGTTTTTTTCCTTCTTTTTGGGTCACCCTGGGAAATGGCCGACATGTTAAAAAAAATATATTTATTTTTTCCACTTCATTTTATGAGTACAGTACCTTAAGGATGCCTCTCCCAATTTACGGCAGTACATACTTTAACCCTTAAACGGTCTAAACGTATATATACGTTCTCTCACGTAGCGCCCCAAATTTGTTGAGAGAAAAAAAAATTGTTTTATTTTTTAATAGGAAAAATGAGCATATGGTACCCAGGTGTCCCCAATTTTTTTCGTATGGCGAACAGTGAGTGCGCACACCCATTCTCGCATGTCTAGGCGACTCAGGCTTATCGTGCCAATGTTGAATGAATGACAAAGGAAACGTATATATACGTGTGGACCGTTTAAGGGTTAAACTAGCCATCTGCATGCATTGTCATAACACTGTTTGCTGTAGTGATTTTTAATTTACTAATTACTTATTGAATTTAATTTATTTGACAGTGAAATCTTAGTTTATAACCTCTAGGAGGATGCTCAAATTTTGTCAACTATCTGATTTTACTATCAGTTGTAAACATACACTGTAGTGTATTTGCATGTAATCACTGATATACTAAAACTAAACCTGTTAACTAGCAACTAAGCAGTCAATATGCAGCAGATCAACACTAGGTACTTTAATGCAAATTGTGCAAAAGAAAATCCAGAGCCTTTACAGAGGTACTGTATACTCTATTATAATAGTAGGGTCCTGAGCAAACACTTTGCTGACTCAGGGAAATCAGTTAGCCAGACTTGAGTCCTGGAGGTTGGAGGTACAATGCCTGCACTTTAAAGGAGGGGTTTGGGATATTGGCTGTTTGGAGTGACATCTAAACTGTTGTATCTAGGTGCCTCTGCAAAGAGTGATTATGTGTGAATGATGGTGAAAGTGTTTCTTTCATTTTTGGGTCACCCTGCCTCGGTGGGAGACGGCCAACATGTTAACAAAAAGTTAAAGACTGATAGAATTTATTTGTACTTTTTTGAACAGGATGGAAATAATGTGGTAATTGACAACACCAACCCAGATGTTGAATCTCGCAAGAGATATATTGACGTAGCTAAAAAAATGAATGTTCCAGTGAGATGTTTTGTCTTTAATGTATCAAAAGATCATTGCAGACATAACAATAAGGTATGTATTTTAATGTTTAATAAAAATTTAATCAGGACAGTGATATAGGAACTAAATTTTTACTTATCTTTCATTTAGATTGCCATAATGTTCTATTTATAATACCCAACCTGATTTTTCCTTTTATTTACCATTTGTTTCCAGCAGGGCTATATGCACTTAGAATACTGTGGTTTTGTGCTTATTTAGTATAGTGTAGTACCCCCATCTATTCAGGATACCAGTGCTTTATATTTTTTGGTTTTTCGGGTTTTTATTGTCACTTGTTTGGTATCCATAAAGTACAGGAGGGCCGCACATATACAGCACCTTCTTTTCAGTGTTCCGCATTTTCGTTGGCTTCAGATTGAGCCATTATTTATTATGTTCCACCCAGTTGAAACCAACAAAAATGTGTAGTACCAAAAAGAGGTGCTGTATATGAGGGGCTCCTATACTGTAATTTGTAAATGTTACTCCTCCTCCTTTGGCTTGACTTTCTATGCTTATGTATCTGTCTAAAATCATGGTGTGTATTGTACATGAGCAGCATAGCCCTGATGAACTTTAAAGCTTATTTGTTATAGTATATTTCTGTTTTTTTCTTTTGAGCACTGCAGCAACAATATGTGAAACTATAATGTTTTCATTTTATCACAGTTGAAGTTTTGTTCGCAAGATCAAGTTTCATGAGCGAGTTACCACATCCCTTGGTGCAGCCCTTGGTATTATCATGTGACTGCCTTTAGTGAATCTTCAGTCAGCTTGCTCTCTCTGGTCTCTTTTGATGTTCCTTGCCTGGTTAGCGCGTTTCATTGGCCCCAACCCCTCCATCTTGTTTTGCTTCTTACAAGGCCTGTTCCCAGCCATTGATGGGACTGTGGTAACTCATCATTTTCTTACTCTTCCAGTGAGTTTTGAAAGGGGCTGCTTGTCTGGGAGAGGACACTTCCTCTTTCTCAGCTTCACCTCTTCTGCTGACTGCCAGGCCCTTCTTCATCCAGTGCTTTAGTTATTGTCTTAGCTCTCATCATTCTTCCTCCTCCTCCTCCAGTTGTGTTTGCTGCCTCTGACCAGGTTGGGTTTTGGATAGAGCATGGGTTTCTCAGCCTTATTCTTTGTCTGTCCCATTTAGTGATGCTTTTCAGCTCATGAGCCAGCCTCAAGGGTAGCCCTGTTCATCTCTGGACCTTGCCATTCATTGCAGTTCTGTCCAGGACCTTCGCAGACTTTCCACCACTTGCCTTATGGCACTACTCTGCAGACAGCCCAGTTCCTTTGTATTTGTCATCATCCTCCTCCTCTCTCTGGGGTGATCCTCACAAATGTACCATTCAGGCTTTCATCATCTCAAAGGGTTTGCCTGCTTGGCAGCTCATCTTCTTTGGTGCTGCCTTTCTTCTGGCCACTATTTCAGGTGCTGGTGCTCTGTTGGATATATAGGATTAGTCAGCAAACTGACCAATTAATTGTATTGAATATACAGTGCACTACTACTGCTGCTGCTGTCTCTGTTGTCATTGATCTTGTGGGCAATTACTAACCCATATACAGTACCCACAGTCAGATCAGTGAAAAACTTGCTGTACTGGATATACACTGCTAGAATGAGATCACTGGCTACTTGATGTGTTAGATATATGATGCTAGAGTCAGCTCGCTGACCACTTGCTTTACATTACTTGTGTACTATTTTACTTGTCTCATATTCAGTCATACCAGTATTAGGCTGATATGATTGAATGATGTAATCATCTGCACAGGGAGAGAGATTTCTTGTACCTAATACCTTTTATTCTCTTTACAGTTCCGGGAATTGTCGGGAGCTAACCACAGCAAAGTGAGTGACATGATCTACAACATGTACAAGTAAGCAAACTGAATTTTGTTTTATCCAGAAATTTACATTATTTATCCTAAAGTTGTGTATACAGTTCATATTTTCTCTTTGTTTCATTTCTGAGAATAGGTGGTTTGTCAACCACATCAAAGTACTGTATGCCAGTAGGTATTCCCCCCTCACTTGTACTAGGCCTAGTTTAAGCAGGTACCCCTGTTGCTTGCTCTAATTCTGGCTACCTTCATGATATTACAGATGCAAGTCATTGGCATTGAGTCCCCTTTCCCTTGCTAGAAAACTCCCCCTTCCTTTTCCTGCCTTACCCAACCATCGTGTGCACAGCTGCCTTTCTGCTTGTAATTTTTTTTTTTTAACAAGTTGGCCGTCTCTCACCGAGGCAGTGTGACCCAAAAAGAAAGAAAATCCCCAAAAAGAAAATACAGTGGACCCCCGGTTTACAATATTATTTCATTCCAGAAGTATGTTCAGATGCCAGTACTGAATGAATTTGGTCCCATAAGGAATATTGTGAATTAGATTAGTCCATTTCAGACCCCCAAACATACATGTACAAACGCACTTACATAAATACACTTACATAATTGGCCGCATTGGGAGCTGATCGTAAAGCGGGGGTCCACTGTACTTTCATCATCATTCAACACTTTCACCTAACTCATACATAATCACTGTTTTTGCAGAGGTGCCCAGAACACAACAGTTTAGAAGCATATACGTATAAAGATATACAACACATCCCTCCAAACTGCCAATATCCTAACCCCTCCTTTAAAATGCAGGCATTGTACTTCCCATTTCCAGTACTCAAGTCCGGCTATATAAAAATAACCGGTTTCCCTGAATCCCTTCACTAAATATTACCCTGCTCACACTCCAACAGCTCATCAGGTCCCAAATACCATTCGTCTCCATTCACTCCTATTTAACACGCTCATGCATGCTTGCTGGAAGTCCAAGCCCCTTGCCTGCAAAAGCTCTTTTACTCCCTCCCTCCAACCTTTTCGAGGACGACCCCTGCTTGCAAATATCTAAAAAATAATGAACAACTAATAAAAGCCTCTAATTTGTATGAGAAATCACTTTGCTTACAAAACTAACAGGCTTCGCTACAGGAGGGCCCCGCGTTACAACGATTTGCTGATACGGACATTTTAAATTATAAACAAAAATTTGTTTATACGGTTCCCTGATTCGCTATTATGGCGTCCGTGTGCCACTCTGTTTATAGCCTCCATGAGCTCCACATCTTTTGATTATGTCTGGAAATTTTCCAAATTTCAAGTACTTTAAAGTTATTGCATATTTTATGTATATTTTTTTAACACACCAGCCCTCTCCCACTGAGGCAAGGTGACCCAAAAAGAAACACTTCTCTGTCATTAAGTTTCCTCCCTCTTCATAGACACGCTTTCATTGGGATAATATTTCTGCTTGTGTATTTTTTAGTTAATTTAGTTTATATTATATTGCTTATATCAGTATAAGTCAGTTGTTAAATAGCATGAAGCATACCTTTAAAACTACCGTCATAGATAAAAGTAGAGTCACTGACTGTTGTTTCATCTGGTATAATATTGCATAACTTATGGACTGTAATATGTTTTATTATAAGATAACCAATGTATAAAGGTTGTAGTATTTATAATTAAGTAAATATACAGTAGGGCCCCACTTTATGGCATTCCGCTAATATGGATATTTCAAATTATAACCAAAACTTGCTATACGGCTCCCCCCCCCCCCACATGACTTTCTAATATGGTCACCGCATGCCACCCGGTTTGTTTACATTCTCTGTAAGCACATTTCTCCTTTATGTCTGGAAACTTTCCAAAATTTCTAGTATCTTAAAGTTATTTCATATTTTATATATACAGCCTTTCCTCACTTAATGATGGATTTCCGTTCCTAAGACCACGTTGGTTAACGAATTTGTCACTAAGTGGGGAGCATACTATGATGGTAGTGGATTTGTGTCAACCATCTTTGGTATTGCTTTAATGTCACCTTTCATAAATCATACCACGGGTGGGGTTGGAACCAGTGATCAGTCTCAAAACTTTAGACCGTCGCGTTAGCCACTGGGCCAGCTAGCTTCAGTAACATGGCTAACGCGACAGTCTGGAGTTTTGAGACTCTCTGATCGTGGGTTCTAACTCCACCTGTGGTATGGTTTGTTTGCAATCGTGTCATTACGATTTTGTGAGTCACCTTTGATGCCTTCCGGCATCAACACAACCTCTTTGAAGGAAGCGTGTGAATTATGAACTTTAATTTATGGGATGTCTCTCATGCAATAGATTGATGTGTGAAATATGAAAGAAGGTTTGTGTAAATTGAAGGCATGAATTGTGTATTTGGTGGAATGACTCATAAATTAGAGTATGGGCTTGAATTTATTGATTAAAGGAGGCAAACTTCATTAATCTGATTTTTTTTCATTTTAAAAATTTGATATTAAAAGGGCTGAATAACCAAAAAGTTTAGTGGTATTTAAATCTTATAATACTGTACAAATTCTACTACATTATTATTCATGAAGTGGTACAGCACTTAGGAAATGTGAGGTAATTAAGGTTTGATCTGAGGAATTAGTGTAGTTCCATTTCCTAGCATCAGAAGTCCTGGGGCATCTAGGCATTTTCCTCTCAGAGGATGGATGTTTTAGAAATGCACATAATTCATGAAAAGCACTAATTACTGCTTGGTTGGGAATGCAGTGTTGTCTTTCTGAATATTTTGTATTCACAAGCAAATGTTAATTTTATCATAAAACAATGTGTGAAAACTGAATTGTTTACCATTAAGTTTTTCTTATCTTTCCAGATCGAAGTTTGAAGAACCTACTCTGAAGGAAGGTTTTGATGACATTGTGAAAGTCAATTTTGTTCCAAATTTCAGGGCATCCAAAGAAAAGGAGCTGTATAGAATGTTTTTATTGGAAAAATAACTACATATATACTGCCTGAACAGACAGATGGCTCACGTGCTTTGATTTTGTTATGAATTGAGCAAATTTTTATTTATTTTTTTTGCAGTCTGACTCCCTTAAGCTGTAAAAACAAAGAAAAGAAATTCTTTTAATGGAAGACATAACATTACAATACAAAAGCAAAGCAATAAGCCATCGTGTATGAAAATTTGCAGTATTTTGTGCCTTTTGACAATAATGCACACTGTGTTTTTAAATCTACAAAGACCAAGTCACCTTAAATAAGTTACAAATATGAAAATATTTGTTTATTTTATGCCTCTATTGAGCAATGCACACTCCCTAAGGTATCACTTAGTGACACCTTGAACAGTTTGTAACAATTCATAAATAATTTTACAAACTGAGGTCAACCCAAAGCTACATATGTATTACAAAGTATAAGCTTAACAATTTGACTGATGAGATCATGTGATGCTGGGGTGTTACAGCTGAACTAAATTTAAACTATTAGGCTGTTACCCCTGCCCTCCTGCCCCCCCAAAAAAGGAGTTGCCTTAAATAAAGCTTAAATATCAATAAAGTTTGAGCAAGAGTACAATAAATTAACTACATAATATTCGTTGGTTTGAAAGTATGATAATTTATGCATGTAGAAGATTGTCATTGTAGATACAGTTGTCATTTATTATAATGAATTTTCTGCCAAAAAACTGAACTTGAACCTTGCCAACTGTTAGATGCACCATCACCCATATAGTTAACAATTTTATTTTGTATGAAATTTATTACTGTACAATAAAATTCAAGTTCAAGATGTTCTAGACTAGAGAATGTTGAATTATTTAAAAATCCTAAAGGTATCATATCGTATCTCAACAAATCAAAGAAAAAAGTACTATATTACAATTCAAGAATGATTACTTATGTGCATAACTATTACCCCTTTATAAATATATTTAAAATAAAGTACAGCATAAAAGGAAGGCTACATTCTGCAAAATGTTTAATGTAAAATATTAATGCCAAAGCCTATCTTCAAACTACTTTTCATCTCTTCAAAATATATGTATATATAAAAATAATAAATGCTAGTTATTTCATTCAGTAAGGTACTTTAACCTGTCTAAATTTTATTAGACATACTTCATACTCCATTATTATACCAACAAAAAAGTGCTAAACCCATCTTTGTATTACAATATTATCACAAAAAAAAGAGAAATCAAAATATTATATTCAAAACAATTACCAAATCATAGAAATATTGCCTGGAAGACAAAAGGTGTAAATATTGTATCTGAAAATGGAAAACTTTTATAAATGAAATATATCAAAAGATACTAATCACCATTATTATTATTATATTAAAAAACATGCACTAACTCACATAAATCATACTGTGAAAAAAGAAAATCTACTATATTTAATAGTCTTTTAGGGAAGCGCTAAATCTGTAGGGGTGCCCATGGAATTGAATCTAACAACATTGGAGGACAGAACTGGGGAAGACACACTGTACAAAGTAGAGGAACTGACAGGGTATATAGGGATAGGCTGATTGAGAGGTGGGAAACATACTAGGGGGCACACCTTGATGAAAAAGACAGACGAGCCACAGGGACGTCAGGAAATATTTTCCAAGTCTTGTGGAGTGGAATGACCACGATGAAGTGGTGGAGATATGCCCAACATATAATTTTAAGGGCAAGTATGACAGGTTCATGAGACTAAGAAGGAGTAAATCTGGCAAGGAGCAAGTTAAGAGACAAGGCCAGGAGCTGAGACTCAACCCCAGCAACTACAAATACATGAATAGTCACCTCCACTATAACAGCAACTGCTGCTGTTCCCCAGAAACCACCTCTTATCCTACCAGGTGTACACAGCTAGGATGGTACCTCCAGGATTGACTGAGCAAGGCTTAGCAAACCTACCTAACTGTGCAACTGTCTAGCTAATAATGGTGGCAGGAGAACCAGCCAGATCCACAAGTAACTTCCAGAAGCACTTCTTCTATCAGAGGTCCAGCTAGATGGCGGCTTGATATGATCCAATTTCCATAGGGTGTAGTGACTGAACCACTACTAATGGAAGTTACATGTATGTTTGAACAAGGTAGAGAGGGAGAAATGCCTTTCTGTCTAGCAGCTGGATTTCAAAAAAGTGGAAATATTCTTACTGGAAGTCAAAAGGAGAGGTAGGGTTAAGGGGTATTTAGATTAGATCTGAGAAAGAGGTCCAATTCCTTGGATCAAAAGCCACTTTGTTATGACAAGGGATTCCCTTGTAAAATGGATAGACAACTTAAAAACTACAAATGCCAGAGAGTCTTGGTTGTCAAATGCTTATGAATATCATGCTTCATTATAATGACCTTTTTATATTTACCTGTGTGAAATGTTAACTGAAATCAAGACTGAAATGAAAAGTCACAATAACAATGTTGGAACAAATCACAACCTACACACTGAAGAAACAACTGGAAATTACATTTAAATTTGCATTTTTTTTCTGTTAGTGATACTCAGCACATTTATACCTTGGTGGAACTAACTGATCTTTTCAGTTAATGAACACTTAAAAGGTATTTGTCAAGAATGTCAAAGTATTTAACAGCTTTGCAGTTGACAAGAATATAACCAAGTTTAGAGCTCAACCCGAGAGGGTCACTTTTTAGTGGAACGTTAAGTGCGAAGGGAATCAGGTCAATGCCAAAATAAAAATATTTTTTATTTTTTTTTTTTCAACAAGTCGGCCGTCTCCCACCGAGGCAGGGTGACCCAAAAAAAGAAAGAAAATCCCCAAAAAGAAAATACTTTCATCATCATTCAACACTTTCACCACACTCGCACATTATCACTGTTTTTGCAGAGGTGCTCAGAATACAACAGTCTAGAAGCATACACACATAAAGATACACAACATATCCCTCCAAACTGCCAATATCCCAAACCCCTCCTTTAAAGTGCAGGCATTGTACTTCCCATTTCCAGGACTCAAGTCCGACTATATGAAAATAACCGGTTTCCCTGAATCCCTTCACTAAATATTACCCTGCTCACACTCCAACAGATCGTCAGGTCCCAAGTACCATTCGTCTCCATTCACTCCTATCTAACACGCTCACGCACGCTTGCTGGAAGTCTAAAGATTACTAAAAAGAATAAGAAATAAAAATATACATACAGTAAATCACTTGTTTTCAAGCTTTTGCTTTATTTATTTAGAGCTACCTGACCTCTAATTAACGGACCTCCAGTTAATGGAGTTTGGCAATTACGGAATAAAAAACTGGCTGGACAAATGACAAAAGCATCAGACAAAAAGGAAAAAAGTCCGTAATTCTGGATTCTGATAGTAAATTATCGGATCAAGTCCAATGACTTCAATGTTTGTTCGGTATGAGCCAGAGCAGCCATGTGCAGGACATATCTGTTTTCTCTGTTTCCTGAGCCATAGGCCACCTGTGCCATTTTACTACTTGTACTCACTCGTGTAAACACTTGTCATTCAGTCTTCAATTTTCCCTGGATTTAGTGTTTTGTGTGACTTTATTAACATATAAAGTGCAATTAACAATGGCTTCCAAAGCAAGTGATGTGGCAAGAGAAAATGTGTGCTACTTAGTAATAAAGAAGGTCAAGTCATTTGTCTCAATGGCATGAGTATGAGGAATGTGATGTTAAAAAACAGTATCTGATATCTATGGTACTGTACTGTAGTACTACAGGTTACAATACCCGTATTCTTAGTGTCCAGTTGTCTGCTGATTCATAACTTCGTTTATGTCATGATCATTAAAATTTAATTTCATAATTTGGAAGGTTCAGACAATCAGCATTATTGTACACTCCTCTCCCTTGTTAGTCCATTAATTAGAAGGTTCAATGTAATATTTTTTTTCAATAAAGAATATTTCATGACAATGAATGGAACAATTCTCAAATAAGCCACAATTTGGAGAGGAAACTACAGATGACATTTCAGTCCATTTTGGAGTATTATCAAGTCATGACCTCAAAATTACATTAAGACTGTACAAGAATTAACCTGAAAGTTGAATAAAGCCATAAAATATAATACAAAACTCCAGTGGGTATGCAGCTGAAATAAACTTGAAAATAAGTGACTTTGGTGCCAACATAGGTCTAATTTTTTTTTTATGTTTCTGATAAAAAACACCAATGGTATTATTAAGGATGGGCAAAGCACAAAATTTTTTCAACTGATGCTCACTGCATCCATTATGTTACAGTAGCAATCAGTCAAGAGGATTTAGAGAAAAAAAGGGGTGGAGCAGGAACTATTACAATCAATCTGGAGTGGTTAAAAACAGAAAAATCATAGAATCTGCTCTCATAATCTTCACAGCAAACTACAGTACTGTACAACATTTCACAGGGACAATGAAAGTCAAACATTTCAAAATTCACCTTTTAGAACTATATATCATCGATCAATCTAAATCAGATCCACATCATCAAGAGAAGCCTTGCTACAGAAAACTACCCAGCAATAAGGGAGCTACCCCAACTACGAAGACATGATGGCAGTCAAAAGCATCCGAGATGCAGTTACCATGTTACCCTGAGCAGCTGGCAAACTGCTGGTGTGGGACAACACATGTGCAGCTACATTGGCTGACACTTCTCTAATACAGCAGTGGAAAAAGTGCAGCCACTGGCTTCAGGGAAATCCAGAAATCTAGAAAATATGGGGACCTTGTTCATCAATAACCATTTGTTTGAGGTCAAAGATTCAAACTGCAAAACAAGTTTTTATTTGTCCCACTGAAAACGACACATGTGCAACACTTACATCTCTGTCAAAACATTTCGCCTATAAAACAAGCTTCTTCACTTGAATACAGAGGTTACTAATAGAGACTTCAAGGTGTTCAGCCTTAATATATATTGTTCATTTCTGTAGAGTTGATCAATGAAGTAGAGGCATACAGAGCTATATATGCTGGACCAGATGGAGATGGTGTCACAAAATGTGAGGCCAAATAGCAAGCCTACTAGCCCATGCTAAGTAGGTCCTTCTCAAATTTAACCTTTCACATACATAAGCACATGTCAATAAGGTGTAGAGCAATATAACAATGTTTTTAAGTGTGTGGAAGGTTGAAAGTTAGAATCAACTGCTAAACATGGGCCAGTACGTCTACAAGTGGGCCTCAACTTCTGTGACATGATCTCAAATCAGTGCACTTCACTTCTGGTCCAGTATATACATAGCTCTATCTATATGCCTTTACTTCAAAGTGATCAACACCATGAAAATAAACAACATTTATGAAGGCTGAGGAACTTAAAATTCTCCACTTCAACTGTCTCAAGTAAATTAGTTATCTCTATATTTTAATGAAGCAGCCTGCCATGCAGGGAAAATGTTTCAGCAATAAAGATGACTCAGTGCTGCACTTGTGTTTCATTTATCTACCTGTTGGTATTGTATACTTTTAATACATAATATAATTCTGTAATTAGTGTTTTAGCTTTCATACTTGTAGGCAATATGCCACTTTATTACATTTTTGTTCCCTTGGCACTTGAGGAAAGTATATACCCAAGTTTCTGAAAGTGATAGGCAAAAAATTCATTAGGGGAATTCAGAATCCCAGAGTAACTAGTTTAGTGTCCAGCCTCTCAGTGTTGAGATCTAAAGAGGTAATGCCTGTTGCATCTTAGGCACATGCTCAAGCTCTGAGGAACTGAAGAAGTATTAGAAATATAAATGGTGAACAAACACATCTTTGTACTAATAAAATAAATAAATAAATATACATATATTTTAAGTGATTATTAAATATTATGCAATTGATCCCAAAACAGAACAAAATTAATTAGAAGCTGCAGAAATGGAACAAATTGGTCAGCATGCTGCATTAATTCTAGGTAAATTTCTCAAATGGGAATTGTTGATTAACTCGACAAATTATTCCTGAGGTAGCACAGTTCTATGGAAGGTTCAACAAGGATGACATAACACTATTGAGGAGCATGCATGAAGAGAGAATAAATGTGCATTAAAACCAAAGGTTAGATCAATTTGATTCATTAATAATGAGACTGAGAAGTGCTCATTATGGGTAAAGCTTGAGATGGTATGACATGTTAGGTATTTTATCATGGTATTCTATATTTTCAAAAACAAG